CCTCAAAGATGGATGCGGAGTCTACGTGTTTTTTTTTTCTCTCCAATATGAACTGGTGACTACTTCAGTCAATAGCATCGACGTTCGTGTATTATACCCTCCATTTATAATTCCTCTATCCGAGAGCCGTCAACCAATGCTGTTCAACGGAAATGCCAGTGGACGACCTAACAATAAGATCAGCCGTCGAAATGAAGCCTTGCGGTTAGGAAGAACAAGAGGGACACCATTGCATTAAGGCCATTGTCTATCACCATTCCTCACCTATGACGTCCATCTACAGAATGAGATATTCGGCAAATGGAATGCTTTCGCGGTGTATAAAAGGCCCCACCATCTTTCAAGCCTTCAAGCCCCAAGCTTCAGGAGCGACCGGAAACTCTCATTGTTCATTAAAGGCACTTGGTCATCAACCAATCTTCGAACTTTCAACTCGGCGATTACCTCAACCCTCAGTGCTCAGTCCCCGAAGCATTGCCAATAATGAGCAGCTCAACGGTTGACGTCAGGGTTGCGAGCGCCGCTTGAAGTGTCCCCGAGACCGACCTTCTTGACACCGCTGTTGACCATTGGGCTCGTCAATACCTGGATCAAATCAATAACCCGACACCAGATACCTGGGAGGTGAAGAGCGCACTCCAAAAGTGTGCTCGAGTGCGGAGGTCGACCTTTGTGGTCGGTTATCAGGCCCTCTACCGCAACCTCCATATCTGCATTACCACCAGTTTCCCCCCCTCAAGAAGGCATGCTATCCGGAAAGGTCTACTGCGTAGCATCACGGCTGAAGAATCTCGTGGAATTCATGGATTTTGTTATGCATCCAGACTTCTGTGTGGTCGAGAAATCGCAATCGGTTTTTACTGTTGGGAGTATGAAATGTACAATTTTTTTAACGAAGGCCTTTTCATGAGCCTTCTTTCATACATAAGCGGTGCAACTCCCATGAAAATACGCATAGAGGTATTTCTCAATGAGCAAAGCAGGTATATCCCCCCCTCAGCGAAATACTGCCGCCAATATTGACAAGGGAGCACAGAGGAGCGATGGAGGGAAACGCGAAAGTGCTACAGATTCGATGACTTAGGCGACTCAATAACACTTTCTAGCTTTTATGACAAGTTCTGAAGTAAATATGCCTATTCACGCTAATGCACGGGGAAATCGACACGCAAAGTAGACGTGCTTGAGATCATGAGGTAAAGATTGGATTATCTACTTAGCGTTAGCTAGACGGAAATGACGCGAGACTGAATCTGTGCGGTGACCCGGACGGGCGCTTAATTGCATTTGGCCCCTATCTTCTACGCGACATAACGCGTCGGCACCATTACCTAGGCGACGTGACGGTGCGACGCGTGCTGAGGCTCCGTGAATCGCAGAGTGGAGAGGGTCAGGCTTTTCGGGCTGTCATCGTGTCAACATAGTGCGGCAGCCATCAGAATGTAATAGAAATTTAACTCTCGGTCGTGCGTAGCTCGGATTTATGAAGGCATTAAATACGAGAACGAGCGTCCCCACTGCAGAAATCGAACTTCAGACTTCAAGTAAGATTGGCGCCTAGCAGTTCAATGAGCAGTGTTTGGTTTCTTAGGCAGTGATACTCCGATGTGGGAACTCGTTCACTTATCATCCCCAAACCTGAACGTTGAACCTTCTTCTCCCTTTGTTGACGGCGCTTCCTTTGTAGTCATTCTGCGTAGTTTGCGGACACGAGCATTTGAATAAATAGCTCTGACAGATCTTGAATGTGAGACATTGCTTCACAGAGGAGCGCAGAAATTTTGCGCAAGAACGAACGTTCTCCGTGTCAAATAACATAGGACAGGGACGAACAGATTAACCTCCTACCCGTGAGGGGGAAGTCCATTTCGAAACAGCGCCTTTTTTCTTCATGAAATCGAGCAATTAATCGAGGGGCTGATCGCTTCGACTGCCATGTAGAGCGGAGTGCATCGTTGAGCGCACGCAGACCATTCTTCGTGAGCACGGAGCGCATATATCATATTTGGGATAATAGTGTATGTTCTTGCGTTTGCGATACGTAGAGTTTCGGGAAAGTCGACATAGTCAATATTTAGAGGCGAGATTGCATAAAGAGGGTTGTGTATCCCAGGCTACTTCATCTGTATGTCCGACAACATCTAGAAAGCGAGAAAAGACGATGAAGAGAAGAACGGATGAGAACTTGCAAAGAAGACTTGCGTGATACTCACCTTCTTGAACTCTGGGTATAGGAATATATGCGGTCGTACGTTGGTGGTGTGGGGTGTCAACGGAACGAGAGCCAACACAGGAGATGGATGGATAAAAGACGGAAAGAATGGTCGGTACTACGTCCTTATAAAACCAACGAAGGAAAACTACGCACCTGTAAGGCTGACCTCGTTATCCCCATCTAAATCCGCCTCTTTGATCATCGCCTGCACCTCCTCAGGCGTCAACTTCTCCCCTAAAAAAACCAGAGTGAATATTAGGAAGCATTCGGACAAAAAACGAACCAACTCACCCAAGCTCTCCATCACACTCCCCAGCTCGCTCACGCTGATCTTTCCGCTCCCGTCCTTATCGAACACCTTGAACGCCGCCTCGAGCTCTTCGTCCTCCGCCCGTGGCGCCGCGCGCGACATGAGCTCAAGGAACTCGTTGAAGTCGATCGCGCCATTGCGGTCTGCGTCAATCTCGCGGATGATGTCGGCGAGCTGGGCCTCGGTGGTCTTGCGGCCTAGCCTCTGCATGACAGTGCCGAGCTCGGTGGAGGAGATCGTTCCGTCGCCGTCTAATCGGGGGAAGGTAAGAAGGGTAAGATGGCCCGTAAGGGAAGAGAAGGGACGCACTCTGGTCGAAGAGAGAGAACGCCTCTTGGTAGGCTGTTATCATGAAACTGTAATCAGTTCTCGTTGTCCTGAGCCATGCGAACAAGCAACGAACGCACCTTGACGTTGTTCTGTCCCCAAGTCAAACCACAATTACTCAAAGGTTTGCTAATCGGGTAATATTTGGCCGCGTACCTTCCGTCTACAGCCCGAAAGCCCAACAGCACAGTCAGCGGTGAGGCCAGCAAGAGACGTGAGAATGGCGAGCGTAACGCACCAGCTGTACTTTGGATGTAGGCGCCATTGGAGGGTGAGACAATGTTCTTTCTGTATAAGACGCTGCTGCCTGAGATGAAGTTGTAGATAACACAAAGATCTAGAGATCAGGTTGGAGATCGCGTCTTGCTCGTCGGGGTAGGTGTCGTATAGACGGGTCCTGCTATCGGCGTAGGTCTGAAAGTGACGATGAGCGGATCGTTGTCATTTTGAGAGCGATGGAATGGAATCACTGATATTGTGATCAAGTTGGAGGAGAGTGGTGTGCGGCGTGGGTCACGTTATGGTCTGGGCCCTTCAGGCGCCAACGTGCGTTGCCTTGGGCGCTCCGCCTACCACCGTAGAATTCGAAGTGAAAGACTCACAGGTCGTTGAATATACACGAGACAGTATTTTAAAGGCGACAAGGAGGAAGAATAACGAACTCGAACTTAATCTTCAAGTCCTTATTTAAGTGAAAACCCTCACAAAAAAGCCAAGCAGGAAAACTCTTCGGCGCCTTCAGGTAACTCAAGCCAAGCTCCGGCAAGAGAAGAAGAAAAAGGCAGAGTACTTGTTCACGAATGATCCACTTACATCCACCCGAACAAGTCTCATGCTAACCATCCAATTGGCATCAAAGAATATACTGCGCAGTCAGCTCAATAGCCAATGGCTGGCCTGGATGGGCGCCTAGACTTGACGTGCCGCCACGCTTCCACCTTCCGAAGTCGAGTTGCACGCGATTCCCTCCTCCTCCGATCCCTATTCTCGTTAGACTGCCGCTCATTCATCGTCGCGTTGTGGCTTGAGATTTCTTTCCTGATGGGCGTCAGTATAAATAGACTGCAAAATCTTTGGCCATGTCCTCGTGCCAATGGAGATGATGCTCTGGTCACACGCTTCAAGTCCAAGTAGGCAACGCGTTAATTTTTGAATGCTCTATTGACAAGATGGGGCAGCGAGCAAATGCCCCTATCCTAGTGCTCCGTGTGAACTTTCCAGGAGATGACGTCAGGTTCTGATGACGACGTCACTGACCTCCAGCATCACGGTGGTCCGTCACGTACATACGTACGTCCTGTGGTGCGTATAAAACCACAGAACTCTTCTTTGACGGCATATCTTCCAGACTTCGAACAGGCGTTGACTACAGTGGCACGCAAACGACTCAAAAGGCCACAAAAGCCGACTCGACGAGCCCCACGCCAGACGGTGTAACTTCTGCCCCAGCACAACAAACGCGAAATCGAAATCGAAGACGATGGCTCCGAGTACCCCACCCGCCACCCGCCAGCGCACCTCGTATCAGTCTTCCTCTCCACCTGGCTCACCCGACTCCCCCAACGCCAGCTCGGGCCAGCCCAGCTCGTCCGAGCTCAAATCAACGGCCGCAAACCTCCCGCCGTCCCGCCAGACACGGTCGATGAGGCGTGTAGCCCCACCGTTGGCGAATATGCGGTTGCATAGGTAAGCCGCAATCGTTCTTGAGGCTCGTTCGTCTGCTTCAGACTCGTAACCGCCCTTCTTTTCACCCCATTCCCTTCTATCTCCGCTTTTCCAATGCTGACACAAACTCCTGGGCACATGCAGGCTCATCTATATTCTCGTCCTGCTCGGGGCCCTCATGGGCGCATGGTACAGCTACCGACTCGTCCAGTACAAGCGGCAAGTCGGCGGATGGTGGGATGTTGCGCTCGGGCGGGGACCGCGACAAGAGCGAGGGACGCAGGATCATCATAGCTCGATCCCAAGCTCTCGACACATTGTGAAGAGTTCCCACTCCGAACCGCTGACAGTCGAAGATCACCTTACCGCCCTCTCGCACCTTCTCGGCGTCCCCACCGCCCCGCTCGCCGCGGCGATCGCAGGCGCCGTGCGCGCGTACGTGCCACCCGCTAGCTTGTCGTCTCTCGCGGCCAACCCGAGGGAAACGGGCGAGGCGGTTAGGGTGTTGTTGGGAGAGAAAGTGAAGGTGGATGACGGATCGGGGGCAGATGCTGTGGCGAGGGGAAATGAAGAGGGGAAGAAGGGGGAGGAGGGCGAAGGAAAGGTGCACGGAAAGGACGGGCCTGGGATTGTGGACGGGGTGGTGCATGGGGTTGGGAGCTTTGTGGGGATGGACGAACCTTGAGGCGATGATCAGAAGTTGGGAAAGGACTCGGCAGAAAAGAGAAGCTGGGAATCGTCGTGAATCGCCCATATAAGTATTCTGTATTTTATAAGTGACTGTACTTCTACTTGTATTAGTATTTTACCGACATGCTTTTCACCTGTTCAGTGTTGTCCCTTCCCCTTTTCTAAAGTTTGCCACGTTCTCCTCAAAAATATCCACTATTTGATCTCAACACTATTTGCCCAAGTCATTCCCCGGCGTATCCTGGACTGTGCATCTCCGAAACTTCGTCCCCGCAAGGTCTCCTCGAGTTGCGATTGCTGTACGTTCCATTGTTTCGTCGACTAACATTCGTCCTGTGCATTGCCCCCGCTTGCGCTATATCCTTCGATCTGCTTCTGCGTAGCTCACCTCTCCCTGCTGTATGGCTCTTGGTCACATCACGATGAGCCTACGTCGTTGAGGCCGGACGCGCACACGCTTTTCGCGGCCGTTTCCCTGTCTTGTCACCCTTCCGCTACGTCCAGGCATTGTTGTAATTGGTCCTTATGGGCTGTGGTGCTTATAAAGGAGATTTAAATGCAAGTCGAGTTCTGCAAACGTCTGTTGCTTCACGTCGCGTGGAAGATAGGGGCTAAATTGAGAATTAGGCGCCCGTGGGGTCGGGTGCATTTCTAGTTAGTCTAGTGTGAAGGACATCAACTTGGCTCGCGGATAGGGAAGAAAAGGTGTAACTTAAAACGGAAACGAACCCAGTACAAAATCTGCTCAAGGTTTATATACGGATGTCTATCAGGAATCAGACGGATGCTATCCAGAGAAGCTAACCCCGAGAAGCTGAAGTGATTGATGGGGAGAACGAGGGAAGCGAAACGGTGAAAAGAATATAAGAGACTTGAAGAATGGGAGGCCATATTACAGAGTATCTGACTCACGGCGGTGGAAGATGCCAGATTGCGAAAGACGGGTAAGGGCGCCAGGATCAGCCTGTTAAACTGTGTTTCGAAGGAGGGCATAAATAGCAGGGACCGAGAGGTGGGAATGACTATAGCAACCTTGTATGCAAGAGTTGCGACGAGTCTCTAGATGCAGTTACAGATGGGGTCAGTTCTTATGGTACCAACTGCCGCAAACGAAGGAGCCTCACATGACGTTGTGTCCCCACGACGCCGATGATGATGGAAAGAGGGCGCCTCCAATGAACCCGGAGAACGATGTCGGCTCAGAGTACCCGGACGGGGGCAGAAGGACAGGTCGAAACATACATGACTTTTGGCACGAGAGATAGAGCTATGCAACGCTTTGTGACGTTTTCGAAAGTCTTCGCCCGTCCGCGTCAGAGCCTGTCAGCTATTCGAGATTGCACTGTTAGTGCCAGGTTGGGAGAGAAAATAAAATATTTTATAGCTTCTCAGCCATCACATATCCACGCTAATGCCAGAACGGTCGAGGTACTTCCTAATCGCTTCCTTCGCCCGTCTAGTCCGATGAAAGAAAAAGACGTTTGTCGGGTGGAACACGCCTCTTGACACCGCGTCAACAAGCACCTCCGACTGAGATGCCTGCTCGAGAATCTGCGGTAGCAAATGCAGAGCGAGGGCAAACGTGCGGAGGGGCAGCGACCGCTCGTCTGCGGCTATCGCACGGAATTCCCGGGCGTCCGACCACCTCGAGTCATCGAGTTCGTTCAGCAGTCGCTCGCCAGTGTCCCATACCTCTAGACCGTCCCACCAAATCGCAGACTTGCGGACGCCGAAGCGGCGCCAATAGCGCCATTGCTTTCCGACCCAGGGAAGAAGACGAGGATTTTGTCGTAGTCTACGCCAGACCCACGGCGCGTTTCGCGACTTTCGTGCCCATTCAGTGAAAGGGCGACAACGCGGATCTGCACTCCGGCGAGAGGGGCGGCATAGATACTTCATGCAAGTCAGCGCCAGAGCGCTGTAGCGTTCGCTACTCAGACGGAGCCCTTCTGGCCGTCTGGGGTCCGAGAAGAAGTCCAGGAGGAAGTCCTCGTATCCGGCAGGAAACCGGTGCACCTCAAAGACGTCCATATCGATATCCCACATTTCCGAACACTTGAATTTGAGTAAATTGATTGTATTCTCTTCCCAGAGGAGGTCCGCGCCGGAAAGTTGGAAAATGCTGGTAATAGCTTTTTGAAAAGTGTCGGATTCCCCTACGCACATTGGCCCATATATGAACCTCTCAAAATGTGATTGTATATACCGTCGAGGCTGACCGGTGCGCAGCCATTCGGATGATAGGGACAAACGGCCAACTCCCAAAAGGAGGAGTAATGCAAGGGCATTGGGAAGAATATGATCCTGAGTGAGGCCAGTCATGTACTGATTTAACAGGTCATGGTGGTGGACATGAAGTGCTCGAGCATCTGCAAATGCCTGATCGACAAGAGATGTATGAGTCAAAGGAAGTCATGCCGACGAGACAAGAGGTCTCACAATTTGTCCCGCTCCAGCTAGGAATAGATACGCGAAAGAAAAAGGCCCTGTTGGTGGGCTGATTCCGAACGTCGTCGACATGGAATGTAATGTCTTGTCTGAAGTGGCCATAGATGACGTCCAATCAGGTAAGGAAAGATCCCAAAGATCCTGCCGCAGTTCAATTGTTGGCGCTGCTTGTTGGCAGTAGGTCTCGAAGTGGACAGATATGTGGTGAACTTCGACGACGTTGATATCTGCGTGGATTTTCGATGACGGATCAACATCCAAGAGGCATACTAGTTAAGAGGGCTACCTACCTGGATCGTCGTGCACCCGAAGAGCCCAACGCACGATATCTGAATACACCAAAGGGGTGTCAATATGCAGATTTCGAGATCGCTGTTTATCCAGAAGGAAATCCGTAAAGGACGCATGGTGGAACTTGATGCGACATTGGGAAGTATCGTACTCGACAAGGGAGCTGAGATCGCCCAGCGGCAACTCTATTGAAGCCCCATCTTCGAGATCGAGGACTTTCTCGATCCGTGGTATGGCGTGGGGCTCTGCAATGATCCCAGTATGTTCCGATAACGCAATCGACACGCCGATAATTTTGAGGACGGTGTCAATGTCCTCAACGGACGATAAAATTTGCGTATAGAGCGCGTCTAACTCCATGAAGGGTAGATCGCGACGTGGTGGCTTTAGGCCGAGCACGATGCGCAAGCGATCGCGAGGGTCCTGGCGAAGGGACGAGGTGAAGCGGGCTACAATTGACGCATAGATGAACTGCCCGGACGACTTCGAGACCAATCTATCAACATCTTCATCGGACGGCCACGACGAGGGAATGGAGGATCCGACCGGGTGAGTACTCCTGGTTTCTTCAAACTTGCTGAGAAGGAACGTGCGGATATCGTCATCGGGGTTGTAGTCATTGTTGAGAGGGAGGCGATATGTCAAAGGCTTCAAAGCAGATGACTTGAAGGTAGCATTGAGTATCTGCTCAGGGCGACTGGCGATGAGGAACTTCAAAGGAAGTTGGTGCTGTCGACTCGAGCGTGGAAGTGCTTCGAGGAGGATGCGTTCGGAATCACGGTCGATGCACTCATCAAGGCCGTCGAGGATGACGAGGGGAGGAAAACGAATTTGCTGGAAGACGCCGGTTTGAAAGAGATGGACGAGAGGCTCGATAATCAGCTTCTTGAACTGCGTCTCGAGCGAGGTCTTGAAGATCAAGGGATCGCCCTCGAGGATCTGTTCGACAAGGGGCCGGGTTGCAGGAATCGATAGAATGACTTTGTACACGAGAGTCGCAACTAGTCGCTGGACGTTGTTGCGGGTCGGATCAGTTCTTGAAAAGAAGAAGGTCGCTAGGAGTAATCCTTCTTTGTGACAGAGCTCCGCAATCGTCTGCGCGATAGCCGACTTTCCTGCTCCTGCTGGACCGTACAGCCAGAGAATGAGGGTGTCCGCGTCGATCTTCCCAGTGATCCAGTCCATGATATGTTGGATGACGGCGACCCGCGTGTTGGGATGGCATTTTGGCGGGTCGAACCTTTCTCCCGAGTCGTGGAATGCGCTGGAGGCGACCGCCTCCTTCAAAGACGAGAGCCCTACACTAATCAGCACATCCGTCTCACTTCCAAGACGTTCAAACACTTACCTCCGCGATACCCGACATCCGTCCGGTTCTCTTGAATGAATGTGCCGCCAGTCACGACGACCCCATTCGAAAACATCGTAACCCAAAGAAAGAGGTCCTACGTTGCACAATGAAAATGTGAAAAACCAAGAAGAACGATAAGAACAATCAAAAGGCCTACCCTGAGTTCACGGCGAATTCGAACTTGCGGATTACCCGAATGGTGTCAGAACCCGATGTTGAGACTCGGAAGTCTTGAACGCTGTGCAGTTTCCAAGCATATTATGAGCGATGCACTGAGCCATTGAACGTTACGTTGAACGTCAAAAAGTTGAAAGTTCAATCTTGTTGGTCTGAAGCTAGGACTGGTGCCGCGGTGCCGGGGGAGAATTCCGGCGCGGTAATTTCCCTGTCCACGTGCAACAATGTCGCGTCGCGCCGAGCCCCTATCGATACTAATAGTATACCTCGGCACGAGGAAACGCTGAAGGTGAGGCTCGTTTTGTCTTCCTGGTGAGTAATAGCATTGGGATTCTTTGTGAAACAATGGCCGTCCTTCCTTCGAAAAATTGCGGCGTATCCCAATCTCAAGTTGGTAGAGGGTCGTCGTGAGCAGCGTCGGCCCTAAATCTTCTCGTTCTCTTAAGTACAGCGGAAGGGAGGGCGGGGGCATTCAGTACCAGTGCTATTTAATATTGTTTTATTTCAGTTTTTTTGGACCGCTGAACGTCCTCAGGCTCTTACGCCAATACTGAGGATACTGGCCGAAAATGGCGCGAATGGAAACCTCACGAGGAAGAGTCGTAATAATAGTCGACCACATCAAGAGGGAGGGAAGAAAGGCCAGAGAGTTAGAACTGCACCGCTCCATTCTTTGGCTCAGATTTCCGAGGCTGTCCCGGATGCGAAAGCATGATACACCCATCTATCGTATTTCCGGGTTAAGAAAAGGCAGCTAGGAAGTCGCAACGGCGCCTGTTGAGATACAAGAATCGGTTCCCGCGTCACCTCCTGCTGGCAGCCCCTCACTGAATCCATACGTCAGTCCACCAGCTGTAGTAAGTTAAAGCCTCAGCTCGGAATATTCCTGAGGCCCAGAAGCGCAGATTGGACCTCGTCCAGCGATAAAAGAGACTCTAAGTAGATGTGCGAACCTGTCCTCAAGGTGCACAAAAATAGCCCGAGATTGCCCAGCAGCGAGGAGGTGCAAAATATAAGACTGAAGAGGCAGGTCTTCTGAGTCAGAAGAATCAGGATGACTTGGAACAACAGCCCAACGGTCGATATACGAAGAACAAGCTTAAGACTTTAAAGCTTTATCGATATTATCTCCTGGTCATCAAACTTCAGATCGAAACATTGATGGATGGGAGGAAAAGCTAACGTTGGTCAAGTAGGGCCTGTGGCAATTCTACGATGTGTCAAAAATTAGGGTGGGTTGGATGGGTGGGTCGTCTAGATCCTCAGGAAGTATCAGGAGGATCACCCAATAGAGATATCGTACGAGGAGAAAGGCTTTATCTCCTGACCATCAAACTATGATGTCTTAAGCTCGAATTGTCGGCAGGATGCAGGATGTGGTCAACTTGCTGTGTATTGCAGTGTACGGGCATGAGCTAGAAGGCAGAAGGCAGAGCAAAGTGTGGAACAGCAAGACTGCAAAGTCTATAACGGCCGGCGATTGCCGAGATCGCGCCAAGAATGCCCTCTGACCTGATTGCACCAGCCTCAACCAGAACTACAAAGGCGACCACCACAACCGCCCCCTTCCCCATCTTTACACTCGTTCTTACCGCACTAACGACCCACTGTAATGGCTGACCAACTGGTAAGTCTGCAACGCCCAGCTAGGCGCCCGTCTGCTCACCCCCCTTTACGTCAACAGTCTGAAGGTAATGCCTCTACTCCGCGGTTCTGCAACGCGTGTATGGAGTCGAAGGTCATGCTGACGTGAATGGTTCCTGACGTCGCGTAGAGCAAATATCAGGTATACGTCCCCAAGCTCATATGTCGATGCGATTTGCTGAAACAATTACCAGAGTTCAAGGAGGCGTTCTCGCTCTTCGATAAGGGTGAGTTTCTGCCTTCCCTGCGCCGCCACTACGCTCGCTGAACGGATGTTTTGCTTCTTCCCCCTGCGATCAGATGGCGATGGCACGATCACGACGAAGGAGCTCGGCACGGTGATGCGCTCGCTGGGCCAGAACCCCACCGAGGCCGAGCTGCAGGACATGATCAACGAGGTCGACGTGGACGGGAACGGCACGATCGACTTCCCCGAATTCCTCACGATGATGGCGCGCAAGATGCGCGACACCGATAGCGAGGAGGAGATCAAGGAAGCCTTCAAGGTCTTCGATAAGGACGGGAACGGCTACATCAGTGCTGCGGAGCTGAGGCATGTCATGACGAACTTGGGTATGTTGGATCTGGACATAGCTGTAGGTAACTAACATTTTTGTCGATATAGGTGAGAAGCTATCGGACACCGAGGTCGACGAGATGATTCGCGAGGCAGATATCGACGGCGATGGTCAGATCAACTATGAAGGTACGTTGATGTTCTCTCTTATTCCTCCTGGGCTGTATCTGACTGACGTCCATACTATTCCCAGAATTCGTGAAGGTAAATGGCCCTATTCGCGCGGTCGTTTATTTTGCTACTAACCAATGATGTTATTACCCTCAGATGATGTTGTCGAAGTAGATCCAGGACCCCACTATTGTAGTCTAGTCAATTGTACTTTCTTGCGATTTCTGAAATGCTGCTTGGATTACATTGAGGATCGGTTCAGGAATTGACAATGTGGCGGGCTACCTCAGGTCGATGGTGACCGGTGAAGCTTTGAAGCTTGAAATTTGCGGTTCGAGTGTATCTCCGCATGTGCAGACGCGAGTTGCGACGCCGTTGCCACTCCTCTTAAATACCCAGCCCGGCATTTCTGTATTGCCCGCTTAGCTCAGTGGTAGAGCGCGCCACTCGTATGATAGCCAGTAGTAGCCTTGAGAACATTATGACTAGTGCTGGCTGCTGATATGGTGAGGTCGGTTGTTCAAACCAGCCAGCGGGCATTTCTTTTGTTTCTTCTGCCCTTTTTCCTTTGCCTTTGTTGAGCACCCTTTGTTCGTGATCTCCTAGGCGCCTTCGCCACGAGGAAAAGATTCACGTCACTCCTCTCACCTCTATTAAACGTGCTGCTTCGACCCCAGGCGGCTCTGTAGAGTAGTCAACTTCCTTCCTATGTCTATTCATCATTGGATGTGTCACTCTTGATCAAATCTCTCGTCTCTAGCTGGCACTTTGGAGCCGATTCAGGATTTGGTGGACATTTTAAACATCGACGAAACGTCAGATGAGTGGCACTCCTGGAATCACCTTTCTCATCGTCAATCAAATCCTGTGTTGCTCCCGGTCTGGATGCTTACGCTGGCGAGACGGGCGGCGTTCACCTGCCACTCATTAATATTAGAGAGTTTGTGCAACAGCCACAGAGCCACCCCGTGGCTGATTTTCGTTGTGCATGACCGTGTAGCCACAGGTTCGCAGAGGTAGCTCTACCGAAAGCTTTCCTCAATAGTCTCCCATTTTAACGAAAATATATTATGGACATTGAAGCTCGGTATTGGCAAAGAAAACTCAGACCCTGCCAGCACAAAGGAGGGAAAACTGACGTCTCACCCCGGAGCCACGGGTGGCTCGGCCCGAGGAAAAAAGTTCGTCTCTTTGAACCATGCTCCCCTGCACATTTCTTTGGATACTGTCAAGTACCCTTTCAGGAGTCCAACATGTGTTGCTAGCATAGTACATATGTCTATAGAAATTCACTGGCTACCGAAGGAAGGAGCAGCACAATGAAATTCAGCCACGGTGTGGCGCTGTGGCTGATGCACAAACTCTCTATTGTGACTTTTGTAATTAGCTACCTTGGCTGGAACTAGGAAAGTCTGTCTGATAGACCCCACACTGTCAACTGCACATAGGGGAGGACGCATACTGCGAACACTGACCAGGCTCAACCGGATGCAGTAGTAACCGGCAGCGTGGCATATTCAGGGTCGCCAGTGTGGCGCACATCACGCATCCAGTCTTCGATGGGCAAAGACGTCTTGTTATTAACGACAACATGCACTAGAAAATTTATTCAGGAGTAAATGGGCGTGTCTTTCTGAATTGCCGCTCAATATCTCGGAGAGTCTGCTCCTTTGCAGAATCCACCTTTCCCTCTTCCAGAATAACAAACTCGTTCTTTAACGTGTCTGGCGTGACGTCTTCGGGCCCTACCAAGTCCAGGCCACGCTTACCGTGGAGGTTTCGCATGCTGTACACCGCACCAGGCGTAATGGGGTCGACGCGTGTACCGGGACCCTGATCACCCACTGGCTCAACCGCACCTGGAGTCGTGCTTGGGGCTGGCAGCAATCCTGGGCCGCCGACCTTGAGGTTCCGGTATACACGACACGCCATTATGTTGACGATGATGGTGTTTGGGAAGACGAGCATGATGCGGAACGGCGAGTCAGGCGGGTTGTTGGCAGCGAAGTAGGTGATGATGGTCGCGAAGTTCATTGCAACCGCAATGCTGGTAGAAGGATAGTAATTTAGATAGAAAGGGACTATGTGCCGATCTTTTGGACTCACAGGTAATAGATTTGACTGTCCTGCAGGAACACGTCCGTCAAGCGCTGGAAGGTCGGTGGGCGGCTAATCAACTTTAGCGCCCGCCAGTCGAGCCTACGCATCGACCACGCTGGGCTACCAGAATGACCATCCTTCGATCCACCACCACCCCTCCTATGCCTAGTGCTCTCCTCCTCAACACGATAGCCAACGCCCGAGCTCAGCTTCCACATAATAGCCAAAAAGACCAAGGTGTCGTTCACCAGGTCCATCCACCACGGGGTGACGACGAACTTCTGCGTCACGCGAGAGGAGCAGAACTGGGTCGACCCAACGTGCACGCCGACGAAGGAGGCGAATGTCAGTGCGGCGGTGCCGGTCACGCCGAGCCAGGTGAGCCCGAAGAAGATGCGGGTGATAGGGTGATTACCATAGACTGCGCAAACGCGGAGGTAGAGGAGCAGCCCGGTGGTCGCATGCGTGAGGGTGTAGAATGCGCACATTATGGTCTCGACGATATTGCAATTGGGGAGCTCAGCGGCTGAAAATGATAGAGTCGGGTTAGTGGGTAATCATGGGAGAAATTGTAAGGAGAGGCAGAGGTTCATACTTAGTTGAATGGATTTTCCAATCATATAACCTAGCGTGGTGTATCTGAAGAAATAGGATTTTGCATTAGCCTTCGATAAATTGGCGAAGATTAACTCCTCACCTAGACACAAAGTAAATCAAGGTTGGCTTCGTGAACCGCTGCTTGAATGCCATCGTGTAATCCGCCGAGAGGGTGTGTAGGATATCCCAAATTATGATCTAGCATTCCACAACTATAATCAGCTTTCGAGGGATAACAGGATTTAGAACGCTTAGGGTTGCGACTCACTGCTAAACAGCAAACGACAACGTATACTGTGAAGCTCGCTTGAAACGCGAGCTTCGGCTCGAGGAATGCCAGCGGCGTGAACGGATTTGGTATTAGTGTGGAAGGGCCCACGCTGCTGCTTGTGGTCGCCATATTTGCCAGGAGAAGAGAAACTCCAGGTACTATCTTGTGAAGATAATAGATTAAGGAGGTGAGGTGAAAAACGGCGGTGGGCGATGAGTTTGATTTTGACCCGCTATCGAGATTTCTCCAGGAGACCTCTGTACATCTATGTCTCGTGACAGGTTGTCAAAGAATGAAGGGAGATCAAAGAGGCTGGAGCGTGGATCTTCTAGAGAACAGAGTGGTTAAAAACAGACTACACTCGGGTAGGGAGGGGTAAGGGGAGACATGAGACGATCGATAGAGTTGCTAATATTATACGGCCAAGTTTGAAAGCTTGAACGTCTTCTCTGTCTGTTTGGCGCTATTCGATTGTCGATGGGATAGAGCAAGAGGGAGAGGTACCCGCGGAATGTCGGTTAAACCTCCATAAAAGTAGGAAGAAGCCTGAGGAATCCTTGTGAGTAGTGGTAAAACGAAGATGGAAGGAAATAGGGGTGAATGATACGGCTATACCTTTGGGCTTGCATGATAGGATTGGCAACTTCGGGCCCGGACATACGTCCTGCGTTGGCCGTAGAAGATCGAGAAGACAGAAAGTTTTCTGTCGCGAGCTGATAGCATCTCATGATTATCAAGTTTTGGCGTGGGTTTGGAACTTGTCAGTAATCCGCCGTGACCGTACAAGTCATGGGTACGGTTGTGATGATTGATTACCTCCAAAAATATGATATGTTGGTTCGGTGAAAGAGAACTGGGCCGAAGAGGTCGAAGGGGTCGTCTTCGAAGGAGCCCACAAGAGACAACCATCGTCGCCTGGGATCCGGCGAGTTTTCAGAGTCAAAGGTAATATAGAAACGAGCAATCGAGTCGTCTACTGTGTACCGCAGATTCCTATAAAGTGCACAAGAAATGAAGATACACTTTCCTAGAGCTAGTGCCCCTTCCACGCACACCGGTGTCGTAATAATTACCCCGGGGGCACTGGTATGCATTTAAGTAATGCAGCGAATCCAGATACGAAGGTCGTGAGGCTAAGCTACTTATTTCTGGAACGCTTCTACGAATGATGATGATGATGAAACCACGGAATATCGATAATGGTCATCACCTCACATGGGTTTGAAGGTAGGGCTGGCCAGATTGACGCTTGAAAAGCTTGAACGCCAAGGCTCTTGCCCTGGGGTTTTACCTAATATAAGTTACGATTGTGGCGCGGGCGCTTGTGATGGAGAATGTCACCGATGTCTTGAGGCTGCAGTCGACGACGAGTACCCTGGGTGGTAGACGCTATTTAAAACCTTAACTTCGGTGGTGGTTCACGTTCAACTGTCACGGTGAGAAATCCCACACGGCTCTGACCAATGATATCCCACAGCATTCAGGGAGACTCGTTCGCTTCTTCTCACTCGGAGCTACGGCGCTCTCGAAATAGACCACTGTTAATGCTTCCATCGGCCAGGAGAGACTTCCTCAGCTTGAGCGCGGTGTCTCGATATTCCAGGCATGGCCTTCGCTTGATTCGTTGGAGTGGAGCCTGGTTAGAGTGAGGCCCTAGAGAGCGGCCCGGTGAGCCTTGTCTACGTACGATTCTTCCTGTGCCATCCTGATGCACGCCACCGTGACCGCAGTCAAACCGCAGTGACCTTGCACAACTTTCGCCGCAAGCATCTGTGTGAAATCCGAGGGTTATGCTTCAGATCTGTCTCTTGTTTTGTCGATTTCGCAGATGAGTTCGACACTATGGAGAGAGAGGCGGCTTGGGTGTTCGTAAAGGGAGTATGCAATGGGCAAGTCTCAAGAAGGCTCTCCGAATTTCGGTCAGTGCCACTAAGAGATCTCAACTATCGTCAATACTAAAAGATATTGCTTTGTTTTCTAGTGTAGCGGCATATATAATCTATGATAATGTGAATGGTTCGGCTAAACGAGAACGTACGATAAGCCAAAGGGCGTAGTTCACACATGGGCAGCGGGCATCATCTATGCAACTAAGTTTGGCGACTTCTGAGCCCACAATAGGTGAGTAGTTCGGCCATGACTTCGGTGTCTACAAAGAGTGAATTTCTGCAGTGCGTACAGCGAATAGCCGATGGTGACGGGGCTCGGTCCAGGACGAATGTTTTGAGTCCACTTTCTGCGATTTCCCAATGCTGTTGGACCAGTCGCGACTCCCCTGGCCCCTAGAAGTGGGTTCTCCTTCCCGTATTGTATCTGGGGTAAATCGACTTTGTGTAACATTAACTGGACCAGACGACACATCAACTCATTGAATTTCAACGAATGAACAAACCGCTACTCTCCTGTCGATCGTTTTGAAGACCATTCTTCATCTCGAGGGATATGGTCGAATGTTCGGAAATTATGAGGGTGAGTTTGTTCTTCCGTCTACAGCCTCGGGTTACCAAAAATATGTTGGGCTCCATCCCATTATTAACCTCCCCAGGTCACCCATCAATGATGGTTCTCCCGAACCCGAACACAAGCTCTTATGTTGCATATAAACCCCCTTCCCTCTCTCCAGCCTTTCCAACGCCTCTTCTCCAAACATGCCTTGTGTACGCATTCCTCCGCCCCGCGATGGGTCGGTCACTCTCCCAGAGACTGTTGACTATCACAGAAGGCATCACCCTGACAGACCCTTCTTCGTTTTCAATGCGGACGGCAGTCCTGACATCACTGAAATCTCCTATTTCGAGTTTGCCCGCGCAACTGACCGAGTATCCCACTATCTGAGACCCGGTCGACAAGGACCAGAGAAGCAGGTGGTTGCTCTCATCGCCCTCTCGGACAGCCTGCTCTACCAGGCTGTCTCCTTGGGTATCATGAGGGGCGGTATGATTGTTAGTTTCTAATATTATCTCCATTCTTTCTATTTTTACTGACTTCGGAATATGCAGTCATACCCGATGTCACCTCGAAATACTGCAGCAGCAACAGTCAATATGATTAAAGAAACCGATTGTCACCGCCTGATCACAACACGCGAGACTTTGCGCCCTCTCATCGACGAAGTCGAGAGTCTGTTGGCTGCTGATTCCTATGAAGTCTCTATCGAAGAAGCCCCTCCTCTCCTGGAGATATTCCCTCAACTCGGCCACGAGAAGGAGGAGGACCCTTGGGAACCCTATCCATCCGCACCTCGCCCTCCTCTTGACGATGTCTTGGTGTACCTTCATTCCTCCGGCAGTACTGGGTTCCCGAAGAGCATTCCTCATACATACAGAGCCATAGTCCATTGGGCCACCTTCCGTGCGTCATTCCCTACTTCATGCTTTGACAATGGCTAATTTCTTCGTAAAAATATCTAGCGCCTCTGACGGATATCCGCGATCACAAGGTCCAAATTCGGTCTGCCGGCATGGCCCTGCCGTGCTTCCACACCATGGGCATGGTCTCTCACCTGCTCACTGGGCTGTATGCAATGGTTCCGAGTGGACTGTACCCTCCGATCGCGACGACGCCCAAATCTCTTCCAGTGATGCCGACTCCGCAGAACATTCTGGACCACCTCGTCCGAACCAAGTGCAATGCGATCATCATCCCGCCGGCCATCCTCCAAGTCTGGGGTAACGACCCAAAGGCAGTGGAACTCCTTGCTACCTTGGAATACGTTGTATGTTCTTTTCTGATCCTTTCAGCTACAGTGCACAACCGAGCATGATATTTTAGGCCTTTGCGGGTGGTGCTGTACCACCGAAACTTGGGAACTACATGGCTGAGCAGGGCGTGTATCTGACGCAAATATATGGAGCGACGGAATTCGGTACCCCAACCCATTTTTTCCGCAAGGAAGGCGACGAGATGGACTGGGAGTACATTAGCTTCTTCGAGGATATCAACCTCCGCTGGGTTCCTCAGGGCGATGGAACGTTCGAGAGCCAGTTCTTGGTATGTCGATCCCAACTCTTGATTGAGTTTCATACTGACCATTTTTGCAAGACCTGCGAGAAGCATTGCATCTCTATCGAGAATCTTCCGGACGTGCGAGGATATTCCACGTCTGACCTGTGGATCCCCCACCCAACGAAGCCATACTTTTGGAAGATGTATGTTGCTGACCACGCGTTTTCTTGTAAAGAGCGCACGTATGCTGATGACCCTGTCATCATTTATGTAGTGTTGGAAGGCTAGACGATGTGATTGTTCACACTTCTTCAGAGAAGACCGTGCCTGCGCCAATGGAGGACGTCCTCATGAGCAGCCCCTAGTATGTCACCTTTCGATACTTTCTCTGACACCGTTTTGAACTCGTGATGGCTATTAGCTTCATGGGTGTCGTCATGTTTGGACGCAACCATGATCAAACTGGCGTTCTTGTCGAACTCAAGCCCCAGTATGCGATTGACGTCAACAACGAGGAAGACGTTGTCAAAGCACGCAACATGATCTGGCCGATTGTCGAGGCAGCGAACAAGGTCGGGCCGGCGTTCAGCAGGATCTTCAAGGAGATGATTCTGTTTGTATCCACAGACAAGCCTTTGCCTCGTGCTGGGAAGGGCACCGTCATGCGCAAGGCTGCATTGAGGGCGTATGAAGCTGAAATTGAAGACGTGTAAGCTGGCAGCCGATCCACGTTTCCTCGGAGAACTTATTGATATTATTCTTCTAGCTACGCCAAAGTCGAGGCTACTGTGAAGGTTGACACAGTCACGCCGCCTGCCTCATGGACCAAGGCCGACACCGAGGCATGGCTCAAAGCTCAATGTGAAGACATCCACTCTGACAGGAAATTTTCGGTCTCAGGCGACCTATTCGAGCAGGGCATGGACAGTCTCAGTGCCACCATTCTTCGCCGCCGCATCGTCGGTGCTATGCAATCCCACAGCATTGTCCAGAAAGCCGCTAAGCTTGTCTCCCAAATCACCATCTACGACCACCCTTCGATCGCCAAGCTCGCTGCTTTCCTTGACGGCGTCGTCGTTGACCCCGCCAACTTCGTTGTCACGATGAGCAGGACGGAGGCGATGGAGCAGATGATCGCGAAGTACTCGACGGGATTGACTCCGCTTGCTGAAGCACAGGATGCGCGCAAGCCGATCAAGGATGTCGTCGTGCTTCTGACTGGATCGACTGGCAACCTAGGCTCGCAGCTGCTCGAAGGTTTGATTCGCAACAAGAAGGTCAAGAAGATCTACACGCTTACTCGACCTGCGGCGAGCAAGTCTGTGAAGGAGAGACATGCTGAGCGATTTGTCGACAAGGGCTTCGACGTCAGCCTGCTTTCATCGGGGAAGATTGTGTTCTTGGAGGCAGAGGCATCTCATCGACACCTAGGCCTGAAGAAAGATGTATATGAAGAGGTACGGTGCCTTTTTATTACCTTTGCAGCACGTCCTGACATGGTTGTAGCTACGCAACTATGTCAACGTCATCATCCACAACGCATGGAAACTCGATTTCAACCTCTCGCTTTCATCTTTCGAACCCAATGTGCAAGGCACTCGGAATCTTGTTGATCTAGCTCGGGCAAGCGATCATGCATCATCCCTCAAGTTCCTCTTCACGTCGTCCATCGCCTCCGCTTTTTCATGGGATCGAAACCTTGGTCCATATCCTGAGGAGGTTGTCCAAGACCCGAAGTATGCTGTAGGCAACGGCTACGGAGAGAGCAAATATGTGGCAGAGAGGGTCCGTGCTCGATACCTTTGCTTTTCGTCCTGTTCTTAAAATTGTTTCATCGCTTCTTCAGGTCATCGCAATCAGTGGTCTGCAAGCAACTTCGTTCAGAATTGGACAAATATCTGGGGGCAGACCAAATGGAGCGTGGGCAGCATCTGACTGGGTGCCCATTTTCATCAAATCAAGCATTCAACTGGGTGCTCTTCCTTCAGCCATTGGCGTAAGCGCGTCCTCTTGTGCAACCTACATCATTAATCTTCTTCGTGACACAGCTTGCCTCATGGCTTCCAATGGACGCCGTCTCACAGACTATAATCGACATCGCCTTCGCTAGTGGGAATGCTCCAGCTCTCAACATCGTACATCCCTACCCCGTCACTTGGGACTACATCATTGCGGCTCTCAATGAGGCTCTCGTCCAGGAGGGCATTGTCAGCCAGAAACTTTCCATCGTCGACTTCCAGAGCTGGTTCTCTCGCCTTGAAGCGAAGTCCCAAGAGGCTGGTGAAAAGGAAATCAACGACATTGTGCGTATTCTTCTATCGACCCGCTGCTGCTCCTAACCGGCTGTTGTATTTGCACAGCCCGCGATCAAATTGCTTCACTTCTTCCGCGTCATGTCTCAAGTCGACGTTAACCTCCGCCAACATAGAAATGAAAAGGTCGAAAGCGGTGGATTATCTACTTTCTCCACTGCCAGAATTCAAGGCATCAGCGGCACGATGAAGGAGCTCCCTCCTGTCAGCCACTCCGATGCTGCCTTGTGGATCAAATATTGGAAGACTGCCGGCTTATTTCGGGACTGAGGCTGACGTTGGGCAAGGAGTCTCTCGGCGTCAGCTGCGCAAGCAACAGCATTCCAGCCCTCATCAGTTCATTTCGAATTTGATGAATGTTGCGCGTCGTTTGTCTCGTAGGAATATATAAGTGCCAATTCTTTGCATCTAGTCTCTATGATTTGCGTGTATGGATATTATGTTTGGCCTCATTCATCCCCTCGTTGGAGGTAGTCCTTGATAGCTTCCTTGGCGCGTTTAGTCCGGTGGAAGAAAAAGACACTTGTAGGATGGAATATGACTCTGGAGAGCTCGTTTGCAAGCTCCTCTGACTTGTGCGATTTTGTGAGCAATTGTGGGAGTAAATGCAAAGCAAGAGCAAAGGTGCGAAGAGGAAGTGACCTGCGGTCCGCCGAATCTGCTCGCTGATGTTTGAGGGGCAGATATACCTCCCAGTTCGCGTCGTCGACGGAGATGCCACCGAATAGCGTCGACCCATCCCAGGCGATTGCGCAACGTCTAACACCAATCGTACGCCACCTGCGCCATTCCCTTCGCACCCAGGAGATAATACCTGGGCTTCTCTTCAGTCTCCGCCAGACCCACGGCGTGTTTCTTGATCTTCGTATCCAGGGTGAAAATGGCCGTCGGCGCTGACCAGGGTTTTGACTAGCGGAACAGCAGGAGAGGTATTGTATGCAAATCATAGCCAATTGGATGTACCAGCCGTTGTCAAAGCGAATTTTCTCGGGTTGTCGTGCGTCGTTGAAGAAGTCGAAGAGGAATTCCTCATACCTGGCGGGAGGAGTGTGTACTGGGCCTGAAACGGAGATTCCAGCGTTCCAGTACTTGGAAAAGCGCGATTGAAGCATGTTTATTGTTTTTCGTTCCCAGAGTAGGTCATCTTGAGGTATGAGGAATATCCGCATAAGTGCGTCCTGAAAGGTATCTGCTTTACCGTTGTAGGTTAGAGTCACCAACTGCTCGCTGAAAACATGATCGCGGTTGCGCCTTAAAGTTTTGCCATGCCAGTCAGATGAGGCGTTCAACCTTCCAGTCCCCAGCAGAAGGAACAAAGCGAGACTGTTGAGACCAACAGAGTCTTGAACTAGATTGTTCATGTATTCGTCTACCAAAGCCAAGTGGTGGTCGTAAAGTTGGTTGGTTTCCGAGAACACCTAGAGGAACGTATAACAGTCATTCAAGTGTCAAATAACCATTGTGGTGTCACAATACTCGCCGTTTTTCGCACCCCAGATATAAATAGATACGCAAAAGAAAACTTGCTCGTGGGTGGAGAAAGATGCCATAGCGGGTGCAAACTCATCTGCGAGTCAAGCTTGGCCATTGATGTTATCCAACCGTGTGCAGGAAGGTCCCACAAGTCTTGTATAAGTTCAGGTGTTGCAGCTGCGAACTGACAGTAGGTGTGGAAATAATCTACGATATGTAAAATTTCATCTTGGTTGACATCTGCAAATTGGATTTTCAAGATTGGGTATAGGCATATATGAAATGGAAGTTACATACCACCCGGGTCCTTCCAAGCACGAAGGGACCAGCGGGCCAGCTCAGCATGAGCTAAGGAAGGATCAGTGTAGAGGTTCTGAGACCGGTGCCGGTCAGAGAGGAAATCAGGAAAGGATGCATGGTGGAATGTGATCTTTGTCTCAAAGTCGTCCAATTCCACAAGTGAGTTGATGTCACCTAAGAGTAATTGAAGAGATCCCTCTTCTAGTTGAAGGATTTTTTCTAGCCTGGGTGGTCGAAGCTGGTAAGTCTCGCCGGGCATGCCTGTTAGAACGATTGCGACACTCAGAATCTTCAGCAGTAATTCGACGTCTTCTGAAGAAGATAGAATTTGCGTGTACAGAGCATCAAGTTCGACAAAAGGCAGGTCACGTCGTGGAGGACGAAGACCGAGGACGATTTTAAGGCGCTCGCATGGATGATGTCGGAGAGAAGAGATAAAACGTATCACGATCGAGGCATAGATGAACTGCCCTGACGATTTAGTGATAAGCTGAAATACCTCGCCATAGGATGGCCAGGACGGATGGATAGAAGTACCAAGAGGATGGGTTCTTTTGATCTCTTCGAATTTGTCGAGGAGGAAGGTACGAATATCTTCATCTGGCTGATACTCACTGGTCAATGGCAAGTGATACGCGAGCGCCTGCACAGACGATGATTTGAAGGTCGATATTATGATTTGCTCTGGACGACTGGCAATGAGGAATCTCAGTGGCAGGCCACTCCGTCTTGTTGTTCTGGCAAATGCTTCTACAGTCGCTCGCTGTGCAGCTTGGTCGACACATTCATCTAAACCGTCAACGATGACGACCGGAGGAAAGTTGATTTGCTTGAAGAGGCCAGATTCGAACAGAAGCCCGAGGGGCTCCAGAACAAGCTTTGTGAATTGCGTCTCTAGAGACCGCTTGAAAATCAAGGGATCCCCCTCGATGACTTGGTCAATGAGTGGCTTGGTCGGAGGAATTGACGACACCAATGCATATGTAAGGGTAGATACGAGATTCTTGATGTTGTTCCTGGAGGGATCTGTGCGCGAAAAGAAAAAGGTGGCCAGGAGCAAGCATTGTTCGTGGCACAACTCCGCGATAGTCTGCGCAATGGCCGATTTTCCGGCTCCTGCTGGGCCATACAGCCACAGGATGAGCGTGTCCGTATCGGTCTTTCCACTGATCCAGTCCATGATACGTTCGATGACGGCTACCCTTGTATTGGGATGGCATTTCGGCGGGTCAAATCTCTCTCCTGAATCGTAGAATGCGCTGGAAGCTACAGCTTCCTTGAGAAACTTAAACCCTATGCTATGAATTAGAAAAGACTGATGACAACAATGAGAAGCACTCACCTTTTCCTGGTCGAGTTGAACTGTTGTCTTGAATGAAGGTACCACCAGTGATCACAACGCCATTGGAAAACATCTGTAATAGCTTAAGCTACAGGAGTGCCAAAACAAAAGGTCGCGCGGGTCCGAAAGTGAGATGGTGGGAAACGATAACATCAATGAAGGACTGCCTATTTATAAAGCCTGCCGGGTGCACAGCCTCAACAAATTGGGACCTGAAAGGACACCCAAAGGCGACCAGAAACCGAAGGTTTGTTGAATTTGAAACGTTGGTATGTAGCAGAGCTTGGTGTCGTCTATGTGTTGAGAATAGCATGGCCTGTTATCCACACTTTGATGGTGTCGGATCAGAGTACGCTGCAGACCGATGTTCCTTATAGTCTGAAATGCCGGAGTAGGAGGCTTAGAGCCAAACTAGATCCACAGATCGTATAATCGGGTTGCAAAGGTGTCGTCGTTTTCGCGTGAACGAACCACTCGAATAGATAAGGTGTTAGATTGGATATCACTGACAAAAATACTCGCGAGGATGAAACTCACTGGGCTTTGCTTAATCTGAGGGCTTTTAGAAAGGTGATAGGATTAAGTGGGCTTAATCTGATTAATCCGTATTAATGTCTCAACTAGTAGACTATTAGAAAGCATGAAATATATACTGGATTAAACTGGATTGAACGGATTGAACGGATTAAACTGTTGAACGTGCCACCGATGGAACGGCTCATTGTGCATTGTCCTAACCTGCGAGCGTTGTCTCCCACCTGAGATACCTTAATGCTGAGACAAGAAACAGTGGCAAATGGGAGGCCATGGAAGTCGCCCTTGCAATGACAGAGGTAGCATGGGCAACGGTTGGAGCAGATTGGTGAGATAAGAGGATGAATTAGGAGGAGCGGTCGAAGGATGGGGGATGTGCGCCGAGGGAAATGGTGAGACAGCGAACTCTCCTTTGCCCTTCTCTGAATCATAGGACCTCTCACATCGTCTCACCATCTTTTCACCTTGTTCTCACCCTTCTACCTTGCCTTCCTCTCACCATCTCTCATTCCACCATCATGGTGACGCAGGCAATGAGCACATTAAGCCGTGGCTGGACATGCCGGGGAGGTTGGCACTGGCGAGCTGTGCCTGGTCGTGGTGGGCATTGACCGTGGTAGGCGTTGGCCATGGTAGCGATGCCGGTGTCGCACTGGCCGCTGAATTGTGGGCATCAACGACATTTTTCAGTTGGTGGGGGTTGAGCCTATACGAGGCGGGAGCAGGTTCTTCGAACTGCATAGATAGCAGACTGGTGAGTTGAGGTGGTAGGCGCAGGAGACAAGCATGGAACCTGAGGGATAGAAGTCAGTCTGCAAGGATAATAGGCACGAAATAAGAGGCATACCGCGTGGGTCTCCCCTCGCTTCTCCACCATAAATCCATCATTTATGGCCAGGAAAGGGTTAACATACCCGCTAAGAGGTGAGGGGGAAAGCAGGACAGCAGGGGGCACAAGAGACGGAGATAAACTAAAGATAAGGGCATGTTTGTTAGTAAAAGGAGGGCTGATATGTTTCAGATTCAGAATACATACCTTGTTGAAGTATCTTGTGCCGGTTTGAAGGCAGACGGGTATTATAAGGCGATGGCGAGACGGTGGAGGCTGCAACGGTGGACTCCGAGGGACCAACCTTAGCACAGCCACCCCAAGTTGAAGACCGAGTGGCACGTTTCAGCAAGATCTAAGCCACTCCTTATATATCACCACAGGAGGGGACGGCGTTCAGCACGAATGACAAAAGGACCTAGAAAGAAAAAATAAGATTGGGGCGAAGTGGCTCATCCTGCCACTCGATCGGGCCTCTTTTGATGAGCCACAAATAGATTGCCGGGTCATTATAAGATGGGGAGTTCTCCCAGCGCGTTTTCCCTGTCCCCCCAGCATTATGCCAGTTTGCATTCCTCCCCCAACACCTCCTTGGTGTTGGTTCCAAGTTTCAGTTTTCATTACTAATTGTTAATCCTACTGCCGCCCGACCTTCGGGTAGCCGATTGTTGTTCCTACATCCGCCGCCGTACCTCTACCGGGAAAGCAGCCAAAGTGAGTATTCTGGTGGTGCGCTTTGTACATGTTCGACCGCATAGTTCGCAAGTGTGGATGAGTGCCCTCCTCGTGCCGCAGTGCATCCTCTTGATTTAATCCTCTGTCATTGCTTAAACCAGGTCATCAGTTTCATTGCGCTGAATCTGTTTAATCGGATTAAACAGATTTTCTTGTTGCTCTTTGTCTTCCAGCGCTCTCAAGTCGCTTAATCCAAGTTGACCGGTCCCGTCATTTCACTCCAAGTCTCCATTATGGTTTAATCAGACTAATCCATTTAAGCCGTCCCAAATTTTAATCCGTTTAATCCGTTTTTATTTTTTAATCCGTCGAGTGCTGCCATGTAAAGAGTAGATAAAAAATGTGTTTTGACCTTTCAACGAGATTAATCGGATTAAGTCACCTTAATACTATCACCTTTCTCAAAGGCAGGGGATTAAGCTAAAACGAGGGGGTTACGGCGCGAGGACAACCCACCCTATGACAGGAAGCAAGAGGCCTGAACTGTAAAGCCACCATGACCAAGATGACATGCAGGAGGACACCTGGCGCTAGCGTTGACAATGATCGACGCCTGACATGAGAAATGAGGAACGCTCTTTCGCGTAGTTGTCGGCCGGCCGGTCCTGTCTCCTGCCCGCGCGATTGTCAGGCACGAAGAGTGCTGCAGCCATCTAGGCTTTAAGTTACTTTGACAGGCAGAGTTCCCAGTGGAGAGTAGACCGAGAGGGCCCGTCGGATAATGTGAAGTTTAAAGCAAAAGGGGGATACAACTCACGGCACGTCAAGCGGAGAGGGGTACGGTATCAGTCAAGGGCCGTGAACATGGGCATCAAGAGCTTTTTTACTTGGGCCGTTCGCGTTATATGATGGTGGAGATGGGGTGTAGAAGATTGGCGTCCGCATATTCGTCCTCCAAAAGACTTTGAGCGGCGTCTTCAGCTTGGGATTTCGTGAACAATGTCTGAAGGCGAGGATCCTTGGAGCGGTCCAATAAGGACGGAAGGGTGGCTCTGGGCCATCTTGCTAGGGCTGGTTGTAAGTCCGGTCCTTTCGTTTGAAGAAGCAACAACTAACCTGGCAAGTAGGTTGAATCCCTCCTATATGGTGCATACGATGGCCTTCCTACCCGTTCTCATCTGTTAACCTTTTAGAATCTGCCTTCCATGTGAACAGGGATCCATGTCATCCTCTTCGCCCTCTGCGTACGCGTGCTCTTCCGCCGAAAGAGAAGAATGCAGCTCGCCATGCTCGTTGCGGTCGTGATCATGTTCGTGTTCGCTACGGCGGACACCGGTGTCTCGTGGCCATCAGGCATCAGGCACCCAGAGTGGATGTACGTGGGTGACAGTAAAGCATTCATGAAGGCGATATACCCCAAATTTTTGTTGCATCTGGTGAACGGGTGAGTGTGTCAGATTACTTCCTTTGCTGAAATAGGGTCGTTAGCAAAGTCAAAGAAGAGGAGAAGTGCTAATTGATTGGCAGATTTCTTGCAGATGTTTTGTTGGTGAATATATCCCCGAAAATGTTGCAAGACTTGATTGACTTGTGGCAGGTCATTCGATGTTATGTTGTCTGGGGAAATAGGAAAGTGATTCTTTGGGTTGCAGGCACCGTCCTGCTTCTTGGAACAGGTATGTTGTCTCTTGCATAGGCTCTTGTGTGCATTGTTGACAATCGAGGAAGCATTCGGGATAGTGGGCGAAGGAACGACGTCAGCGGCCCTCAAGAAGTACATTGCCGTCTACATTATCAGCATCCTGGTATTGAACATTGCTCTTACGCTGGCGACTGGTATGCAACTCGGGAAGAGGGCGGGATTTGGTCGACTGACGACTGACGTTCATGATATAGCTGGTCGTATTTTCTATATTGCAAGAGAAGTGAAATCAATAATGGGTCAAGAACTAGTGTCGCACTATCATTTCGCTGTTTGTATTCCGTGAGTCTTTGAGAGGATATCTGCATATACACTTACCCTTTCATTAGAATAGAGTCCGGCCTGCTCTACACAGCGGCAACAATTTTAGTGTTTGCTCTGTCTTCAACCAAGTTCATTGTAAGTAGCGGTCCATCTATAGGTTATTGTTGATCCTGACTAGAGTTTGCTAGCTCATGGCTGCTGCGATAGCAATCCGCGTCGTCGTTCGTGCTTCCTTCGCGTATCTAACGACGTTTTCATTCACCTTTGTGTTGCAGTGTATAGTGCCCGTCCTGCTTATCGTGCAATACCACTAGGACAGGAGACAAGAGACAAGAGACGTAAACACGACCGTGAGCATGATGCAGGCTGGAACCAAATCACAAGTTATTCTGGACACAATCATCAATACGGGACATTACGAAGCCGAGCGAGGGGTGGAGGATACTCACCGGTTACCCGCGGTGGTCGAAGAAACCGCGACGAGGGTGCCCGGCAATGGATTGTCCGAGATCGAACTGAGCCGACTGCGGCCCAAAGGGTTAGATAAAGTGTGAAAGCGGGAAGCCCATGGTTATAGCACATTAATTACAAAGAGTCAAGCACCACTTGAAATGCGATGGAAACGGGGCATCGTCGGAGCAGTAAACTCGCACACCGTGGACAAAGCCCGGTTCTATCTTGCAGGCGCCTAGGAAAGGACAAGTTGCATGGTAGTGATTAATGGATTGCAGCAGGCAGGGTACAGCGGACTATTCATTGATAGTATCATGAGTTCAGCAGTTGTCCAACTTTTGCTTCGACTTCGGCGGCGGAAAGATTGTCAAGTTCGACATGCCTCTCCACTCCACGTTCTGTCATGGGGACGGAGGAACATGAGTGTGAATTCGGACTGGTATGATGTTGCGCACCAAAACGCGCAAACACTCTCGCAGGTGTCCCCGTGGCCTCTCTAATCAACACTGGTAGGTCGGGGTTGTGTTTCTTGATTATTGGGTATTTCGAGACGATGAATTGCCTGTGCGGTGGTTCCATAAACCCTGTCACTCGAGAATTGAAACAAGCATGCACTGACCTCGTTCCTGCAGATGCAGGGCCTGTTTGAGAGCAAAGGACGCGAAGCTCTCGCAAGGCGGGCGGAAGGACCTTTGCAAAAACAACCATGGTGGAGGTACGGAGGATCTATGGGCAATAGTCGGAACGCTCGGCGTGGGCGAGAATATTGCTTACATAATCAGTTGCAGCCAAGACAGTCAACAAATCACGGTTTCAACCCACGCTCGTTGTCACCAACGACGACCTCCCCTTCTCCGCCGACGCGGCCAACGACGAGCAGGCCGTACGCTCTCAGCCGCCATGGACGACGAAAAGCGACAACAAGATGACTGGGCAAGGAGCCGCAAGAACAGGCTACCCTCCTTCACAGAGGTCCTCTCCCGAAGAACAAGACCACCCGTTGATCTTTTCATGTTCTAGTAAGTCCCCTCTGCGCGACGGATTTTTGTGATTCTCAAGCGTTTCTTCAGTCTCTTCCTCCAGAGGGAAGGAGCAGAGGATATCCTCGACTTTTGGTTGGATGTCCAGCAGCACGAGAATCTGTGTCGGGCATACTTCAAGGACGTTCGGAAGTCAGGGCGAACTATCAAGGACGACTGGCCTCACTATTGGGATTACGCGAGGCGTAGAGGGTCCATATACGGAACGGTGGTTGGGCTGAACGATGGAGGCGGAACGAAAAGGAGCACTGCGAGCACTGGTGAGCTTCTGACGGAGCAAGACAGGCGCAATCTTGCCGCTGCAGGCGACGAGAAGGGTCAAGCACGCTCGACGAGCCCACGGCCACCGACGGACAACACACGCGTGGCATCCGCCTCACCGGGCGAAGACCGTCCTCCTCGTTCCTCAACCCCCTTTTCCCTCTCTGGCCGCACCCCCACCCTCTTCAACATGAAACGTGCTTCGCGAGCACCGACTATCATTCCTCGCTCAGCAGCCATCACCCGCGTTGACCTCATCGCTTCCGCTGAGCGCATATTTTACCGCTACTTATCCCCCGCAGGTAACACTGTCAACTCTCCAGAGAACCATGAGATCTACCTTCCACCCGCTCTCCGCATCCACAGCTTCCCCCTGAGCAGCCAGCGAGAACCGAAGTCCGAGACTGAGCTCGCTTTGATGGCCCAAATTCCTGATATTTTTCATGCGCAAAAGGAATATTGCTTCCGAGCCATGGAGCAAGACGCCTTCCCGCGCTTCCTGCGATCCAAAGCCTTTGGCAATTTGACCCCAATCTCTGCGTTGGTCCGCCTCGTCCTTGGGCTTATCATACTTTGGATCGGCCTGGCTGTGGGTTTCGCACTGATATTCCTCGATGTGGAGCCGAAGTCGAAGAGATTTTTCGTAAGTTTGACTCTTTTAAACCCAATTTTTTGTTCTAATAGCACCATTTTTTCAGCTCTTCATCCCCTTCTTCTTTGCAGTCCTTTTCCTCGTGTCACATCAGTACGAGCTCGACCCCATCCTCGTTTTCCTTGGCCAATCAGAGACCACCCCTTTCCGCACACTCACCATTCGCGAGCCCTATGTCAGGAAACTGCTTATGGGTCGCGCCATCTGGGTCAGCGTCTTGGTCACGGCGTTCATGACTGCATTGACCCTGCTGTTCTGGGCCGTGCCCGGCCACCGCCTATAGAAAGGATGATTGATGGGATGGAGTTGATCGTGATGCGGTGCTCAGGCAGCCCAGTGGGCCAGCCGTCGTAGATACCCCAGCTCTGGTGTCGGAGCACGCGAGACGAGGAGAATCGGACCCAAAGCAAATAGAAACGATTCTAGCAGGACAAAGGACCGAATTCCGAGGTAAATTGTATTTTTTTCGACTCATCTTTCCGTCGTGCTTGCCCATCTTGTTCGGCCTTATCGTATCGTACTTTTATCATACGTCCATACCCTCACACCCATTTTTTTCCTTATATCACATTCACGACGAGACACTCCACGGACGGGGCGAATTAGTTATCTCGTTCTACTTTAATACTTATTATCTCTGGCTTCACCTATCTTTCTTTTTACTTATTGTCGTCTCTTTGTTGTTTTGTCGCATTCACTTTCTTGTGGATACCCATCTCATCTCTCTCCGTGCCTTCCAATCTCAGTTGCCTTCCCTCTGAGTCAGTCGTTCGTTCCTCGTCGTCTCTACACCCCTCCTCCACCCTCGTCGCTCCTTCCATCTTTCGCATCCCGCTTTATATGCAAACCCTTTATGACACAAACATGAAATCAATACAGAAAGCAACTACATAAAAGATGAAGTCCGACTAGAGGGCATGAAATACATACGACATCGCATCACATTCGTGCAGGTACTACCGACGACCTCCGTGCTCGACGTCTATGTTATGCTCGGAATAATCCCACATGCTTCCAATACTTAACCCAAAGGACAGCGTCCGACAGCGCGAGGCTGGGCAGCTCCTTCATCGTATCACTGATGTCCTCAACCTTGCTCGTTGAAAACGTTGGCAAACCGCCGCTCTCAACCTTGTCATTTCCCTGCTGGCGGAGGGAGACATCGACCCGAGCCATAGTGCGAAAGAACTCGAGAAGCTTGATAGCGGGCTAAGCAAAGATGTCAACAGTCAGGAAGTCAGAGACAAAGAGTTTGTAACCCACAATCGCCTTGATGTCCTCTTCGCAAGCATCATGGGACTTGCCCTCCAAGGCAGAGAACCATGTTTGGAAGTCGACTACAGGTAACTTCTGCTCCACAATACCCTCCCGAACGATGGCTTCGTTGATAGATGCCATGATCTCGTCCCATGCTAGAGGAGTCGGGTGTACGATATTGAGGGCGGGTTCGTCGGCCTCGGAGAACGCGACGTCGAGGATAGTCTGAGAGACTGCATCCATGGGTAACCAGGAGGCAAGCTACACCGTTTAGAGGGTCAGCTTGACAAGAAAAGGCAGATGGCACAACCAAACTTACGCCGAACGCTGAAGGAAGAGAACCTAATCGAATGCCTGACTTGACGAGGATGGGCACCCAGTCCGTAGTCGCCCAAGCGCCGTTAGGTTTGCCACCAGATATTTGCCCAATCCTGAAAGATGTCGCACGTAGACCGCTGGTTGCAAGAATCTAACCCCAATAAATGATGATGGGTCAGTTTCATTTAATCTCGCACCAGAATGCGAACGTACCCTTTCTGCAACATATTTACTTTCGCCATACCCATTTCCAATGGCATATTTTGTGCCTTTGACGATTGCTTCGGGGTATGGTCCAAGAGTCCGGTCCCAGGAGAAAGCGGAAGATATGGACGACGTGAAGAGGAACCTGAATGACGAAGCATGGTCGCTTGCGCGGGCCAGATCGATGAGATTCCGTGTGCTTTGGACGTTGGGTTCGAAGGACGAAAGCGAGAGGTTGAAGTCAAGTTTCCATGCATTGTGAATGATGACGTTGACAGAGGTGCGCAGCTACAACCATGTCAAGACGTATTGCTGAGGCAGGGGAAAGATATCATACCTCTTCATACACGTCTAGGTTCAGACCCAAGTGTCGATGAGAGGCCTCCGCCTCCAAGAACACGACCTTCTCTGATGAAAGTAGGCTGACATCGAAGCCTTTGTCGACGGTTCGCTCGGCGTGTCTCTCCTTAACGGACTTGCTCGCCGCTGGTCGAGAAAGCGTGTAAATTTTCTTGACTTTGATGTTGCGGATTAAGGCTTCAAGCAGCTGCGAGCCCAGATTGCCCGATGATCCAGTCAGAAGCACAACGGTCTCTTCGATCGACTTGCTTGTCGCCTGGCCTTCAGAAAGTGGAGTCATTCCCGTTGAATACTTCGCGATCATCTGCTCCATCGCCTCCGCCCTGCTCGTCGTGACAACGAAGTTGTCAGGGTCGACAACAATGCCGTCCAAAAAAGAAGTGAGTTTGGCGATCGAAGGGTGGTCGTAGATGGTGATTTGGGAGACAAGCTTAGCGGCTTTCTGGACAATGCTGTGGGATTGCATAGCACCGACGATGCGGCGGCGAAGAATGGTGGCACTGAGACTGTCCATGCCCTGCTCGAATAGGTCGCCTGAGACCGAAAATTTCCTGTCAGAGTGGATGTCTTCACATTGAGCTTTGAGCCATGCCTCGGTGTCGGCCTTGGTCCATGAGGCAGGCGGCGTGACTGTGTCAACCTTCACAGTAGCCTCGACTTTGGCGTAGCTAGAAGGTATACAATTATTGGTTGTACAAGGAACGATGGTAAGGAATTGTACTTACATATCCTCGATCTCAGTCTCGTATGCATGTAACGCCGTTTTTCGCATCACAGTGCCTTTTCCTGCCCTAGGTAAAGGCTTGTCTTGCGATACGAACAAGATCATTTCTTTGAAGATCCTGCTAAACGCCGGGCCAATTTTGTTGGCTTCTTCAACGATCGGCCACAGCAGGTTCCGTGCTTTAATAACTTCTTGTTCGTCGTTGACATCGACGGCATACTGTGCTTTCAACTCAATAAGGACCCCAGTCGTGTCGTGATCCCGACCAAAAATAACGGTGCCCATGATACTATGATTCTCATAAGTTACTGATGAGAATGTGAAGAGGAAAGCACATACTAAGGGCTGCTCATGAGGACGTCCTCCATCGGAGCTGGAACAGTCTTCTCTCCAGAGGTATGGACGATGACATCATCCTTTCTTCCAATTCTGGAAGAGGAGTCTTGAAGGTCAAAAGTATTGCCGACAAGAGAGCAGAGCGTACATCTTCCAGAAATACTCCTTGGTGGGATGAGGAATCCACAGATCATTACTTGAATACCCTTTCACGCTTGGGAGGTTCTCGACGGACACTTGATGCGTCTCGCAGGTCTACCAAGAATGTGCCCACGTGAGAAGCCATCGACAGGAAACAATCATGACGACTCACCAAAAAATGGCACTCGAACGTGCCATCACCTTGAGGAACCCAACGTACGTTGATGTCCTCAGAAAACTTGATGTATTCCCAATCTGCCGCATCAGCCTCACTTCGGATGAGATGAGTAGGAGATCCAAACTCCGTGGCACCGTACACCGGCGCTATGTATACGCCTGATTCGGTCATGAAATTTCCCAGTTTAGCGGGCACAGCTCCGCCAGAAAAACCCTAGAGATAAGCTCGGTTTCACGTTGGTCATAAGTTGACGGGCATAGACCTACCACATATTCCAAGGTGCTGAGTAATTTTACCGCCTTCTCATCACTCGCCCAGATTTGGAGGAGGGCAGGTATAATAATCATTGAGTTGCATTTTGTTCGCACAGTGTGCTCCAGAATGTTCTGAGGTGTCAGCATCATAGGTTGAGCCTGCGGAGTTGTCGCCATTGGTGGGTAGAGGCCGATGGGTACCATCCCGTAGAAGCCGCACAGGAGATGGGTAATGATGCCAAGGGTGTGGAAGGCTGGTAGAGGCATGGCTGCCTGTCGAAGCTGGACCTTGTAGTCGCGCACATCAGTGATTGGAGCTAAATAGTAGGTAAGTTAACAGGGCAGGAACACGAAGACGAAGACGTACGGAAAGAAGCCCAATGGACCATGGTCCTAAAGGTCTGGGGAATGGTCTTGGGCAGCCCGGTGCTCCCAGATGAGTGCAGATACATGAGAATCTCATCGAGAGGAGGACGCGAGCCAGCAGGGTATGGCTGAAACGGGTCCTCTTCCTTTTCGTAGCCCAGCTTGGGGAATATTTCAAGTAGAGGCGGAACTTCCTCGATAACAAACTCATAAGAAGGTCCGGAGGCTAGCAACTTCATCACTTCATTGATGAGAGGTCGCAGAGTCTCGCGCGTTGCTACCAGACGATGGCACCCTGCGTCTTTCAGGAGCTTGACTGTTGCTGCTGGAGTATTACGGGGCGACATGGGGTACGGCTATGATATTGGCAAAATTCAGTGAAAAATAGGAAAATTAGCGCAGAGCTCTTACTATCATTCCGGCCCTCATAATCCCGAGCGACACTGCCTGGTAGAGCAGGCTATCGGAGAGAGCAATAAGAGCCACAACTTGCTTTTCCGGCCCTTCTCTCTTCGGTCGCAGATAATGCCCGACGCGGTCGGTCGCGCGGGCGAATTCAAGGAAAGAGATTTCGGTTACGTCTGGGTTTCCATCGGAGTGAAAGACAAAGATTGGTCTATCTGGATGGTGCTTTCTGTGGTAGTCGACAGCCTCTGGAAGTGTCACAGAACCGTCACGAGGCGGGGGGATTCGTATGCAAGGCATTTTGGATCGTTGATTGTTGGAAGACCCTCGACGTTATATACTTACCAAGAACAACAATAGAACGTCTGCGGGAGAGCTATATTAGCACACCGAGGGTACAGGGTTTTCATGATAGATTGAAACCCGGAATCCAAAAGATCAACGGCCGACTGACGACAGTGTACCATACTTCGACTCCACTGGCTCAGGAAGACGTCAGAATACGTGGCATAATGGAGTGCCTGGAATCCAAGGACCTTAGAAGTCACCCAGCTATATAGACAGAAATTGTCAGTTTTGAAGACCAGATTCTAGACAGAGCAGATAGTTGGCATTCGAACCCTCCGATTCTTTTAGTATCATTGATACGTAGGAATATGTCAAGTCCCTAGAAGTGCAACTGTAGATCGATGAATACAGTGATGCTTGATAGAAGGGGAGAAAACGTACTGGCCAGAACATGATCAGAATGACTCTGGTCCGACAAACATGTGGTCAACAGACCTCTGCACCGTTTCTCAGAAGGCTAGGGGGCTGTCTTCAATCGCGATGCAATGGAACAGCATTCGGGAGGAACGTCCGAGGATAATGGGGGCCATGCCTATTTAGCGACGCATCTTCCTATCGAAACAGGAACGAGATGTAGCCTATAATTTCACGGATGCCACGAATCACGATCGACCTGGAAACGTTTCACGAATCGGGGCATGAGAGACCCGAGACTACATCTCGATGCATGGTCCCCATTCCTTCAACGTATTACTGTGTAGAACGATAACTTCCTGCTTGTTCCGGCCGAGACTTGCCACTTGTGGATTGAAGAACTTGCTGGACCGCGATGAACAGGCTTACATAACTACTCGATTTTTTCATCATCAAAGTCATCAGTCGCGAGTATGGTTGAGTCTTGACCGTGCTGGACAAAAATAAAGCAAATGATATTTGCACACCGATCGGGCCCGATCGGCCTAGATAAGGAAGAATCGTGACTATAAAGCTGGGAAGGTTCCCGAAGAGGTGCGATGTGTCCTGAATTGTTACGATTGGTCACGATTGGTTACGATTCGGGACGATTCCCACACATACTGTCTGCAACACAGCCACACTCGATCGGGTCCGATTGCACATTGGACCCTAATTACCGATCGAGTCCGATAGCATCACCCGAAGTGAAACGAGACATCCCAATATCAGAAAAGGCCATCGGCACGATTGGTGTAAAATCGTGGTCTTCCCCCACTTTGAGTTTTCTTTTATTTTACAAACTTCGACTACCCATTTGCCCATGCTACCATTACGTCAGCAGCTACGAACTCCCACACTAAACCCTAACCTCGCTCAGAGAATGGCCTCCTGATTCGGACTGCTGTATGATTTATGTATGATAGTCTCTTGGTGCGAGGTAAGTCAATTTTTATGAACCCTTCCTCTAGATTCAACCAAATATGAGCTCATACAACATTATTTTGCCAAGAACACATAATTTCCTTGGCTTCGGCGCCTCGAAAATGTTAAGCGCCTGTTGTTTTAGTCGTTCAAAGAGTATTTACTGTCTTTTTGAACCTGTATCTTTGTTGAATAGGAGGGCTTTTAATATCTATCAGGCCTAATTTATGACTTCCCTTCAAGAGAGTAGCACAGTCAACTATAGGGCATTGGCCATGGCTCAAAGGTATCGCTCGTGCTGACAACCAGCTCTTTGGGCGCTAATCAGATTAGATTGCCCGCCACCATTTGAAGGTGGCCCATCTTGGCCAGGTTCAGCAGTAATAATTTTGTCCAAGATGGCTACTCATACTACGAGATGAATCACGACGAATAGTAAGAAATCGTAATTCCCGATGTCATTTTCGTTTGAATGATGCAATGCGAATCGTAACGAATCGGGGCGTATCGGAATTCCCGATGTTGTTTTTGTTTGAAAGACCCGACACGAATCACAATGAATCGGTGCGTATCGGAATTTCAGATTTCTTTATCTATCGTCAATTCGGTTGTCCATTACTACAGGAATTACTATTTGTCCTGATTTTGAAGGGGTTTATTGAAGTTGGCACCCTTCGGCCCGTGTGGGGGATTTTCCTGACGTCGCTGGGCAAAATAGTGTCGAATCGGAATTTGAGAGGTCGATCGGACCCGATCGGGACATTTCGAGGCCTCAAATGTAAATTTTAGGGTACAAAAGCAAAAAGAGGCTATTTTTGTCCAGTATGGGCAGCCATACGCGAGAGAGCCTTCTGGTGAGAAGTGAAGAATGACACCAAGGAAACCGAACTGTGAGAAACTTCTCAAATCGGGACAGGAGCCTGTTCTCAATCTTCTCTGCCTGCTCGTCAGGGGCCGAAGTACTTATTTATGGGAAGGCGGCCCAATTGAATCAGTCAAAATAGCCTGGATTTATCACTACAATACTCTACATTACGACGTACGCTCTTCGAAAATTCTTCCTCATCTCAACCTCATCTTTCCATGATCCTGCGAATCGACCAGATGCAGCAGGCTGCAGGAGTTTCATGCGGTTGCGTTATACTTCGCCCAAACTTGCTTCGCTACCAAGGATTTTGGACAGGTTCTCCCAGTCCAGATGTTAAACTGCTCGTACCCTTGCTCGAGAAGAATCTCGAGACCAGGAACCAAGGCCCAGTTAGCCCCCGCTGACTTCGCAAGCGCAAGCAGGGGTGTCTCAGCAGGTCTGTAGGCCATATCCACGACGACAGCCGCTCCCTCGCGGTACCCAAACAGCTCACTCGTCAACAATATCGCGTTCGGCTTGACCCCCTCGATGGTCGTTGCAGAAGCTGGCACCGTAGACACGATGACGCTGGGCGGCGCAGATTCAGTGCGCCACTCCCCGAGCTGGCTGATGACCTTAATGCGAGACTCTGGGAATGCCGACATGAGTTCTTGAGCTTTGGAGGGGGTGCGATTATAGAGGTAGATGACGTCGGCGTTGAGAGCATGGAGCGCGTAGATAGCAGCGCGCGCTGTTCCACCTGCACCGATAACCAGGGCAGCAGGGATCCGAGGGCTGGCTCCGAGTTTGGAGCCAATGGCGGCCTTGATCCCTAGCCAATCCGTGTTATCTCCGACGAGAATACGCCCACCACTCCCATCTCTCAGAGTGTCTCGGGGGATGATAGTGTTGACTGCACCGATTGCTTCTGCAGCCGGAGTAAGCCTGTCCAGGAGAGGGACCACATCGAGCTTGAAGGGAATGGTGACAGAAGCGCCGCCAAAGTCAGGAGAAGTAATCGCCATCTTGATCTCCTCACCGACCTCCTGGGTCTCCAGCAGCTCGTACTTGTGAGGCAGGCCGAGAATGTTGAATCCGGTGTTGTGGAGGGTCGGCGACATGGACTGAGAGATAGGTGTCCCGAAGAGGTAGAACCTCTGTGCAGGCTGTAGGCCGAGTAGATGAAGCGCCTGTTGAATCTGTTTGAACGACAATTGGCCAGGCGCCGCCTTGTTGGGTAGCAAGGGGTGGGAGACTGGGCTGAACGTCGAGTTAAGAATGCGCGACATCTGGCCTTCAACACCCATATTGATCGCAATCATCGGTTTCGATCCTGCCTTGGCGTTCCTCGAAGAGACGAAGTCGTATAGCGCGAAGTTGTCCTTAATCGTCGAGGCCTTCCCAACAATCTTCACAACATCTCCGACCCGACTGGCCAGGTCATACTTCTCCTTCACCAATTGCCCATCCCACTTCAAGCCACCACTCCAGTCGTGCCACGACGCGATGATTTGGGAATTACCCTTACGGGCGGCGAGATCCTTGATCTGTTTCTCTGGAAGGGTTGTCTCTACGTCGATGTACTCAATACCCAGTTGCAAGGCTAGTCGGAGGAGGTCGGAGGACTCCTTGTGTGCCCCATCAGGGAAAGAGCCGCCCTGGGACTTCGTCCTAACAGTAAAGACGATCGGCAGAGAGGACACGCGGCGAAGGGCTGCAACTTGTTCTTGGACATATGACAAAGGCGGTATCGAGTGGCCGATAGTCTCGTAATCCTTCGGCGATCTGAGAAGGTCAACACGCAGTTCCAGGGCGTCCACACCTTCTGTCAGCTCCTCGATACGAGGGAAAGCTTGGGTGATATTCGGGTATGTGAGAGACAAGAAGTACGAACGCGAGCCGGGCTTCAAATTGCGAGCCAGATTCGGCTGTCCGCCAGTGACGTGCTTGAAGAACCTTGACACTTCGTTGAAAGCGCTCTTGTCCGTAGGCGAAGCGTCAGCACCAAAGTGATTGTCAAAGATGAAGTTGGAGCTTTCGGTGAACCAGGGCTCTCTTCTGCGAAAGACATCAGCGATGGGTTCGCCATAGGCTGGACGAGCAGACTCCGAGTCGAGGTAAGCGATAATGTCGCTGATAGGACGCACGACGTGTACGACAGGGCCTTTCTTATCGGCGTACTCCCTCAGGAGGTCCCTTGCGGCAGGTGTCTCGACGATGCCGCCTCCAAGGCTGATGATATAGCCTTCACATTTCTCCTGAAGGAGTTCCTTGAGGACGGCAACCTCCGCGTCACGGAACGCCTGCCATCCTTGCTGGTGCACGAACTCGCGGACGCCGATCTTGTATTTCTCCTCGAAGTAGGTATCAGCGTCGATACAAACCCAGGAGAGGGCTGCCGCTGCCATATTGCCAACAAAGGTCTTGCCTGTTCCTCGCATGCCAATCAGAATGGCCGATGCACCTGCTTGGTGCGTACGGGCGCCGCTGGCAGATTCCGTCGCTGTGGCACTCAATTCGACACCTTCGACCCTGATCCCAATCTGGAGAAGACCACGTCTGTTCGACTTCAGCAAAACTGGGGTTGGACTTCAACATACCTTGTTCTCCAGATCGTCCCACCAGTTAGGCCATGTCTTTTCGACACATCTCTTCTCCTCAATAATAGTCCCGGCAATAACAGTGCTCAGAACGCTGAAGGCCATGGCCACACGGTGGTCGTCGTAGCAGTGCACACTAACCCCATTCTTCAGTTCCGGGATTGGTTTGCCAATAATCTCCAGCCCGTCATCAAGCTCGATGGTCTCCACCTCGAATTTAGCTAAAAGAGAAGGGCAAATCTGATAAGCAACAAAACCTTCGGGAAAGGAACCTCTTCACGCACCCAACTCATCGATCATTGCCTTGATTCTGTTGCATTCTTTCACTCTCTGATTTGCGATTCCCAGAATACGGGTCTTGCCCCTCGCTACTGCAGCGAGAACAGTGGCGGTCAAGAACGCATCTGTCATCTCCTCCATGTCGACCTCCTCGATCGCCTTGAGCCCACTAATGGGTGGCCCACGCACCGTCGTCTCCGTAGCCGTCTGAACCACATCACAGCCCATCTTCTCCAACACCTCTTTCGCGAACTTGGCATCTCCTTGCAGGGACGCAGAACCGATATTCTGAATCGTACAGGAGGTACCTGTGATGGCAGCAATGGCTAGGGGGTATGTGGCACTGCTGGCATCAGATTCGATGCTGTATTCTGCTGGGTTGACGTAGACGCCCTTCGGGATGTCGTACACGTCCAATAGCTTCTTTGTGGCAGGGTCTGCCCTCCGGACGACGTTGATACCAAAAGTCTTCATCATCGCAATGGTCATGTCGATATAAGGCTGGGAGATGACTTGGCCACCAGTAAGCTCGAGCGTTACTGGATTCGTGGCATACGGGGCGCAGAGGAGGATGGAGGAAACATATTGGCTGGAAACACTTGCCGCTAGCTTGACCAATCCGCCTTGGAGGCCTTGTGGTCCAATGGCGAGAGGCAGGCACCCATGCGACTCGAGATAGTCGATTTTGCTCCCGTTGGAATGCAATGCTGTGACGAGAGGACCTATGGGACGCTGTTTCATGCGGGCGTTACCAGTGATTACGGTGGATTCTTCATCAACACCAGGGGTCGCCTGAACGAGCACACAAACGGTGGTCAAGAAACGGGCAGCAGTCCCAGCGTTTCCTAGGTAAATTTCTTTGCCCTTGGGGGGTACTGTAAGCGAACCTTCGCCACCTTCGACGACCAACGTCTCTCCGCCATCTTCCCAAGAGAATTTGGCACCCTGATGTGTATGATGAATGCATATATGCGCGGAGAGTGCGAATAGTGCCTTACCTTAAGTTCGTTTATGGCCGCCATCATAACCTGCGTGTCGTCAGAATGCAACAAATTCTTCAGCCTGCAGGTGCCTTTCGCGAGAGCCGCTAGAACCAAGGCACGGTTTGAGATGCTCTTTGATCCAGGTGTGGCCATCTTCACTGGGTCGTTCTTCGGGATGCCGGGGATCACTCGCGCCGCCTCCGCGAGCGTCTTAGCAATGACAGCATCTTTGACAACCGTAGCTTTCGGCTCGTACGTCTCGCCAATTTTCTTCAATATGACGATCTTCTTCTCGGGACCACTATTCTTCTTGTCAATGCGCATGATGTCGAGCAGCCTGTCGACCGTCAGCTGACTGGAGGCAGGCAAGTTAGAGATACGTGGATCCGACAAGGCGACGGGTAGATTGTACGCCTTCAAGCATCTTGTCAGGCGGCCCACAGCGACCTGCGAGAGGATACCCATCTGCCGAGCTACCTCCGCCTCCAAAATCATACCAACACTGACGCACTCGCCATGGAGAATGGTTGGTGTTAGGATGGCCTCGATTGCGTGCCCGATGGTGTGTCCAAAGTTGACGAGGTTCCTTAGTCCGGTCTCGCGTTCGTCGATGGTAACAATATGCGCCTTGACGGAGATCGACCCCACTATGACGGAGAGTAGGAGCTCTTGCGCTGAGGAACGTGAGGCCTTTGAGCGCCCTGCGAATTCAGTGGAAGGCGTTTGGATGGCAGCGAAGATTTCGGAGGACCAGGACTCGAGTGAGATGAACTCGGATTCGTTCCATATCGCTGCGGTCTGGCTTTATGGTCAGACTCCATTTGAGCTACACAGGGTAGTTTTTAGCTACCTTTACGACTTCAGCCATACCGTTCGAGAACTCGCGAGGGGGAAGTGTCTCGAGAAACGCCGCATCGATGAAGATGTACTCGGGCTGCCAGAACGCGCCGATGAGATTCTTCCCATGAGGTGTATCGATAGCCGTCTTCCCGCCAACGCTAGAATCGACCATGGCCAGCAGCGTAGTAGGAATCTGCACGAAACGCACCCCGCGCATGCTGTTGCGATCGCGAGATTAAGTCAGACTATACTGAACCGCGTATGCGGGAGACACGTACAAGGTAGCAGCAACGAAACCAACTAGATCCCCAATAACGCCCCCGCCTAACGCCAAAACGACGCTGTCTCGTGTGCACCTGTTCAGGAGGAGGAAATCTTCGATGTGAGCTTTGCCCTCCCTACTTTTCGAGGTCTCTCCAGGTGAGATAACCAGACTAAGGAATCGCGCCTTGGTACTGCTAGGCGAGCTGTCCAGAATGGCCTTGAATTCTTGTTCGAAGGCCTTGAGATGGAAATTCGCTACATTGGTGTCTGTTATGAGGATGTAGGTCGACGATGGTAGGGTGCTTAGAACGGTGCGGGCGATATATGGGATGAGATGAAATCCACAGTGTATGGACTCTTTTCCAAGGATTGAGACTTTGAGAACGTCCGTGTTCCCTGCCATGGTTGGGGGATTTGAAAGAGAGGCAAGGAAATTGGGCTTCTAATCGACGTAAATGAAGGGACATTGTGACAAGAATTTATATCGCGGTCATGGTTGGTTCGATCATCTTCGGATGCTTTGGAGCTCTGGGTCCGACATCTCCGAAAGGCAATTATCCGAGTTCAAGCTCGACAGTGCGGAGAGCTCTCAGTGCACGCTACATGACCCAGGGTACTTGGACCTTGGACCCTCCGAAGCAACGGATATTTCGGGCAAATTCGACAACTTGCAGATGCAATTTTGCACTGTAGTGGCTTTACATCCAAATCAGCAGAGCATTACATTTACACAACTCTGGACAGTGCTCGAACAACAGTCATGTAGTCTTATTGATGAGGTCAAGAGTCCTTCGTGCAGTTAATCTTTCCGATCCCTCACCCGAATTGCATCAAACCCATGGAAATATTGGCCATGCAGATCGACGTCCCAATTATCAACTTCTGCCCCATGTCCATCATGCTTGATAGCTGGCGAATGGCTCTCAGGTGTAAAGTATTCTTCAGCCAAGGTAGGTAGGGATGCGGCATCTGCCCAGTCTATGAAGAGCCATTTCGTTACTCCACCGAATATCGCGATGATACAAAGGTATTTGATGCGCCACCTGAATTGAATCAATCTATAGGAAAACAAACATAAAATAAGGCAATGGGCGGGTATAATGGCGACAAGGGTCATATCAGACTCGATGCAATAGAAAGAATCGGAAAGCCGAATGCGTGAAAGTTGCAGAACACACCAGCTATATAAGGAGCAGGCGAATAAACCGGCAAGTCCAGTCTTGGGAGCTGTCTGGGCCCTGCTCTTCGCCCCAGAAGGGACACTTAGCAAATATTAGGAAACCGTAATCGGGTCTGATATGCCGAGTTTCCGTGTGTTGATTGCTGTTGCGTCTGCTTGTGCCATATTCGCATCCCAGAAGCTGATAAATGTAGTCGCAGTATTGCTGTAAGGCTCTGGCGATTGTAAAGCAGTGGTGACGAGACGCCGAGTAGTTGGGTTCTCCACATCATCGCCTAGTCGGAATAAGGTCTGAACGTCTTTCTCCCTACACACGTCAGGGAGACGGTCCACAATGAGACTGATACACGCGAAGGGGGTCTTGGATCTTTTCCTCGACAGTAAGAGGTTGATCGATGAATCCTGAGAGTTCCTCAAAGTCAAGGGATCTCGACTTTAGCCCGCTTGGACTTTTATTTGTGAATGAAGTCGATGCACGGCTTTCACCCGCCCCTCTGGAAAGCGAAGGTTGGGCACAGATTTGTCGAACAAGGCGAAGACGCACTAAATAAAACGAGGACTTTCCCCTGATTTTCATCTGCCTGAACGCGCGATAACTCGGTATGGGGAGGGCATCTAACAGCCTTGCTTTCTAGAAAATCCTTGTTTAAGTATCTCCCCAAGATCACTCTCAATATCGTCGAGCGGACGGGCTGAAAAATCAGCGACGGGGTTGACCAACTGAATAATGGTGAGCAGAGGAAGGTGGGAATGCGAATTTACATGCCTTGTACGCGATGAGTGTAGATCCTTCAGGCGAATCTAGGTCCATGAGGTGGCAGGCAGCACCTGGATTTCGCTAGTGTCGGGAATATCTTTCGTGATTCCAAAGCCATGAATCGTGTATGCTGTGGATGGATGCTCCTGAACCAAAAGATATGTGACTTGGGGTAATATTCAAGAATCAAATTTCAAGACAGGGGTTGGACATGATGACGTGACGTGACCGCACTCTTTCCGAGTCGAAACCCTCACCTGGTGTGTATCGTCGTCTTGATTTTATTTTGCCAGATTGGAGCAGCAGATAGAGTGGTGATATAACGCGATAGTAGATAATGCAAGAAAGCCGAAATGGTATCTGATGTTTTTCAAACAGCAGCTATATTCTTAGCAGCAATCTCCTGCACTTTGCCGTCCTTCCAGCGTATGGTGACAGAACCGTCCTGAATGCCAATTAATATCGGAAGGGGAAAATGACTGAAGTCGCGCACCTGGTTCCCAAAGTATGCCGCCTTCGCCATCTTACAGAACAGGCCAACCTCAACCACCCCGGTTAGCATCTTTATTTGAGCCATGATCTACACCGAGTCGCAACGTTAACAAGGTCCTTTAGGCTCTTGAAGGGGGAAACACGCACCACGTAGGGGTCTATCATATGTTCCCTCTCAAACGGCGCGTCGATGATGAAGTTTCCATTGTCTGAGACGACCGGCCCAGCTTTCTTGATCGCCATCCGTAACGTCGCCTTCGGAGAGCCCAGAATGTGGTGCAAATTTTGCAGAACCTTGGCGTACGCGAACGGTACAACCTCAATGGGGACACCTTGCGCGAACTGAGTGGGAGAGCGGTAAGCGTAGATATGGAAACGACAGGAAGAACGGACGCACATTGGTACCCAAGTACTGCACATTCTTCCGATAATCTGCGACGAGAACGAATGTCCTCGCAGCCTCCGCCAGCACCTTCTCTCGTAGATGGCATGCACCTCCTCCTTTGACGCAATTCAGTTGATGGTCCACCCTAAACGACAGTCACAGTCAGCTGCTGAAATCTCGTCGTCGGCCGAAGTAACGCACTCGTCTGCTCCATCCAGCGTAACATCAATCGTCGGATATTGGTCGACATCTCCAAGGTTCAGTCCAGCGTCCACGATAAGCTGTTTCGACTGGAAACCTACCGAGGGCCGTCAATAGGAGAAATGGCTCAGGCACGGATCCAGGACTCACCAGTTGGAATGAACACCCGTCCCTTGTTGACCTCGGCACCCTGCTGCACGATCCTCTCCACGACATACGGAACCGTAGATCCTGCATTCCACCCTATTCAGACACTAGACGATGCAAAGGTGAGCAAGGAGGTAACCTACCCGATCCAATTCCAATGACCTAAATTAGTTCAGCCCTGCCGCCGATCGCGAAAGCGAAGATCGCAACGCTCACCCTATGCTCCGGCAGGACATGGTTGTCCACTGCCTGGAATGCCGCGAGCCGTTTAGATTGTTCAATAGGGTCCATGGGGACGTCCGGAAGGACTGGAGAAGTAGGGTAATGGGAAGAGAGGTAAAAGTATCGGTGAATGTTTCTGATGTATCCGTGACCCGGTTCCCGCTCCTTGCAAGAGTTTACGCACGCTGATTAACCCGACCAGTGCTGATAATGCTCTCTGGCATGCCCACCGCCACTGGCTTGATCTTCTGGGTGATGACGGGGGTTGTCCTAGCTCCACGGGGCGAACAATTAGATGCGAGTTTTGGAGAAAATAGAGGCGGGTGTAGAAGATGTGATTGAGGGGAATTTATAGTTGCATGGACAGAATTCGAGGTGCCAAGGACTCAGGAAGCGAACAGGAGGACTTACGGAACGTCGGCGTGGACTTGCGAGGGGAGTGGCATCTTGCTTGTTCGATGGAGAGCTTGTGAATGGCGAATTCGATGCAACCGGATTGTACGGCGAAGGTGTAGGAATCTTAACGCCGAGTTCTGCATAAATAAGGGGAAACGGCGGCGGTCTGGAGGCTTGAGACTGGATCAGGCCGGCTTGCATCGATGGTTCCAGTCCAAATTCCTCCCGGTGAACGAAGCTGCTCTTACGGATTGGGCTGCTACCAGGCTGTTACACAAAAAGTTGGGATTTGGGGTTGGTGGGAAATATCCGTCGCACAGCAAAGGTTGAAATATTATCTAGACTCTGCCTCTGGACTAGTTGGTGGAAGAGAAAGAACGTGAGATAGTGTGACACACTCCTTGATCCCCAACAGCGACGAGGGGTTGAAACGCCGACGAGATGAGGGCCATTAGAGGTTCGTGCGTCGCACTATTCTTCTTTGTTATGAGAAGGATAGAGCATTTTTAGGCGTTCTTTTCACCTGGTAACCAGGCATTAAGCGCAACTTCCGAGGCACATCCGCTCACTCCCCCCCATAGTGACCCAGCAGTGAAGCAGATTTTGCTCCTACTGAACGACAAAGAGAATTTTATCATAGAAGACCTCGATGATCATCATCTCGTCATCAAGGCGGAACATGAGTATCGAGTGAGGAAGGAGTTAGAGGCAGAGGTGTGTCCTTGTGCTTTTCGGAGCTGTTCTCCGTTCCTTGACGCGACATTTCCCTTTAGCTGGAGAAAAACACGTACAGCCTTGAGTCATGAGGCCGAACACACGTCTGCGCGCATAGAGCGTCTTTTATCCGTCGTCTCAAGGACGAACGGCTTGACATTTCTGTGACGTTTGGAGAGCAACAAAAGTCCATTCACGGTGTACATATCATACAATGATACATCGGTTAGGGTCATAACGAAATCTCTTCTCATGCCGATGTCCATCATGGAAGGCAAGCAAAGAAAAAAAAAGACCAGCGTCTCGTCGATCTGGCCGTAATGGAGTGCGATGGCTTATTGTTCGTCGGTCCTCAGCAATGCACTTTATCACCTGGATCGCCACTCTTTTCCGGGACGTCTTTGCAAACATCGCCAGAAGAATTCAATCCGCTTCCACCACTCCCCTTCGCGTCTGCGCTCGAGGCATCAAGCCTCTTCCGCTGGAGTTCCTCATGAATCCACTCTTTGAAGCCTTCAGCGGCCTCCCTCGGATGGTCTTTGTGCTCCAGGAGGTATCCCTGGATGTCAGCCGGTGCAAGGGTATATTCCGGGAAGTCCAGCGCAAAGACATCGACAAGTGCAGCGAACTCGTCGTCATTCATCTCGGTCTGCTCCGCTTGGCCACCGATTTGAGATGCGGGAGGAGTATGGGGTTTCACAGGCATGTCTCTGGTAGGAGATACTTCACTGGAGAAACGCACGACGTCAATCCCTACCCCAGCGTCGACCGTCGTGTCCGACTCTGTCCCTTCGACCGCCTTGAACGCGCCAGCTGCCGCGTCAGTTCTACTACGCAGGGGCCGATAAAACACACGGAATATTTCCCTGGCCTGCGTAGCACTGGCAAGCGGGAACTCCACGACGACGTCAATGCGTCCTCGACGTTTCAGAGCCGGGTCGATGGCTCCGAAGTGGTTAGTCGTCGTGAACAGCAGACGTCCTTCGGTTGCGCTAATGCCGTCAAGGACGTTCAGGAGGCCACTCAGCGTGATCCTAGAATTTCTCAAAGCAGGGTTGAGTGATGGGGGAAGGTAAAAGTGGAGATAAGAAACGTACCCGCCTTGTTTGCTTTCACTCGAAGCTAGCGAAGACGAAGCGTCTCGCTTCGGTCCATCCCTCGGCCTAAAGGCTGCATCAATGTCCTCCAACAACAGAATTGACCTGTCTGGTACAGCGTTAACGAGTTCAATGAGGACGCCGTCGTCCATTCCCTCCCGCGACAGTGGCAAGTTGTACACGTGCAACTCGAGTGCGCCTGCGAGGCTTTGAATGAGAGAAGTCTTGCCGGTACCTGGCTTACCATGCTGGTGTCGCCAAACGGTGTTCAAATTGGTCAATGAGGAGTACGATATCGTGGATAAATGAAGAGCGTACGAAGAGATATCCTCGCCTGTATGGTATTCCGCGGTCATTGTACCACTGGCGGGAAGCCAAAAACCTTTTTACGTCGGTCAAGATCTTCTCCTTGGCCTCATCCTCCAGAATAACAGAAGAGAGGGGCCGCTTGCTGCGCGATGCCATGGCTTTCCATTGATTATTCCTCATCGAAGTCTGAGTCAAAAGTCTGACGACCAGATGCCGAACTCACCTGTCCGGATAGTAAACATTGACCGTGTTCTTCTGCGATGCCACATATCTTGTGCGAGCCTTCTGGATTAGGTCGAATAGGTCGGCGGAGTTGCGAGTGAAGAGGCTGTGGATAAAGGTGAAACCCACCAAGACGATGATCAACCCATCTTTCGCCGACCTCGAGACAATGCAGAAAGTCACCTACCGTATCTCTAAGACACATTCCATCCTCCTTAGAACACCTCCACTGCACAAAACGAATACCGGAGAAAGTCAAATTCAATAATCCGCATACGAGTCCACACGACCTCAAACAAAAGGCCCTCAGGACCCGACTCACCTCGCCTCTTTCTCCCTCCTTGTCACATGCAGGCGCTTGCCATTGTCTGTCTTCAGGCAGTAGGTCTTATTCGCTGTCGGCAGTGTATATATCCTCTGGGAAACTTCAGACGTTAGAGCGGAGACCTCGCCATAGTACGAAGGATTGGCGTTTCCGCCGACCGAGGTGCTGATACCCATGCTCCTGATTTTCACTGCGGCTGGTAATCAGAAGATGCAGGGAGAGGAGAGTTAGGAAATGCTACGCACTCCAGTCTTTATGCGAGTAGATCCATGTGAGCATCCAGTCTGTAGAAGCAAGCGAGACAATCACAAGTGGGTGAATGCTTATCTTGTCAGAACGACACCATGCTCACCATAGGCAGGTTCCCGCTCAGTAAATGTGGCAATAGTAGAGATGTGGTCCCAGAGAAAACTGCCGAGATCCAAGTCATTTGCACATGTGAACGCCATGTATAGTACAAGCAAGAGGAGGTAGTTGTGCTTCCGAAGCAAGCTGCTTGAGTCGAGTCTACTTCCCTCGCCGCTACGGTGTGAGCCTCCTGACGCAACCGAGGAGTCGTCCCCGTCTGTGGCGTCGGATCGTGTGGAAGTGGGCGAGTCGGCGGCGAGGGAAGAGAGTTCAGGCAGAAGGAGGGCGAAAAGATGGGCAAGCACCCAGTTTCGCCCCATGAGAGCCGCCTGGAAGAGGGCTCCGGCAGGTACAGCGCGAAGGGAAGCTAGAGAGTCGACCAGGCTTCCGAAATTCTGTTTTACAACGGGGGCAGGCGGCGCCACACTTGCTCTGTCGGCAACCAGGTTCTTCTCTTCAGATAGCCCGCAGGTCGACTGTGACGGAGAAGCCATGGAGTTCGGATAAATTCCTCGAAGTGTAGGAGATGGTTGAACTGAGTAGGTTAGAGGATGTCGATTGGTGGCTCAACTGGCCGGCTTTAAACCCTTCAAAGAGGGGCATCTCCCCAGGACTGAGCTGTTCTGACTTGGGAAGGGACACTGCCCAGAACGAACATGAGGCTGATATGTGTTTTAACAAACGGACCATATAAGTGCGAGTGACTCATAGTGCTGTACCACGACTTGATCAACACATGTGGTAGGCGGTGGAGGCAGAGTTTCATGCCACCAACGATTACGGCGTGAGGAAGTGGCTGAACGTCCGTCTCGGCGGCAAGGCCTCCAGTAGGCTGTAGACAGGGGAAAGCAGAAAGGAGGGAACGAGACGACGGTCCAGAAACATTAAAGAAAGCCGCCTGGAGACTCATGGTAAGTTCTTTGTTCTCCAACACAAGAAATGGAGATTAAAGAACAGATATTTTTTCTCGGGAAGTTGAGAACTGCCGGAGGCGCGAGGAAGCTGCCCGTTAGAGACCAATGCGGGCTTCTCGTTTCTCATCCGGAGAGGAGGAACAGATTCCTGAGTCACCATAAGCCGTGTTATTGCAGTGTTGCTCCTTTTGTTGCGAGATTCCATGACAGGAAAGACACGAGGTTTGCACACAAAAGCTTACTGCGGATGGCCGTTGGCCATTGTTCCCTTGTGTTGACAAGAAGTACTTGGTGCAATATTACTTGAGGAAAAGGCCTAGTAGAGCTGTAGTTGGATACACAAAGCAAAGAAGGTCAAGAAGCGTCGAAAGCACAAAGAAATGTGAAGACAAGGAGTGATCAGGGGCGGTTTGATGACATCCGTGTGAAAATGATGATCATCTATTATCTTATCAGACTCACGATGGACGCCACAGATTCGCTGCGCCACGAAATCGTTCCACAAACTTCATCAAGTTTTCGTATTGTCCCGCTATTGTCTATTACGAACACAGCTGAACCATTATCTGTGCCAGGTTTAAGAGCCCTGATCTTGGACTATGGCCAACACACGGGACCTTCTCTTGACAAAAGAGCAAGCACAGGACGCCGTGTGCAAGCATCTACCAGACGCTAGGCAAGCCATCGTAGCAGCCATTAGCGAGATACCAAACAGCGGCTACAGGTAGACCAGGAGACAAATGCTTTAGAAAGACGCGCCTCTTATCCTTGCATGACAGCTACACGTCCAACGCGAAAACGTACAGCATCGACCTCACATCTTCTCCTGAATCCCTGGATCTCCCTAGCTCTTCCTTCATCACGATATCTCAACCACTTCCCAATTCCTCAGAGCCCCAGTTGGACTGGCGTCCCAATAACATGCCACTCACGCACCACATCCTGACCCTCATCCGCTCGAACACCGATGTACCCATTCCGCTACTCGTGCTTGACACCTCGCTCTCTCTCCCGTCCGTTCCATACCATTACTTGATCTCTCATCCAACTCCTATCCGCTCCCAGGACCTAATGTCCTTGTCGCAAGCGAGGGCGAAGGGTCTTTTGGATGAGAAGGACAACGTTTTCTTGAACCTCCAAATTGGACGGTTCCTAGGCCAAATGCACAGCAGAGTTCAGAATGATTGGTACGGACTAATCGAGAAAGAAGAGCCGAGGGATCCCTCCTATAGTTGGCAAGAAACATTTACCCTGTTTTTGGAGACGCTTCTGGTCGAGTTCGAGACGGACAGCGGCGACGAGATCACGCTACCCCACGAAGAAATTAGGCGCCTCCTCTCCCGCGCGATTGGGTTCTATCTCTTTGACGACGTCGAAGTTCCTTCTCTTGTCTGGTTCACGGGATCACCTGCCGACATTTACATCACTTTGCCTTCCTCTACCACACCAGCCACAATCGTCACCATCCTGCCCAATTTCGCACATGCGATTTGGGGAGATCCGCTCCTGGAGAGCGTCTTCATGTCCTCCGGCGGGAAGGAAAAAGAAGCGCTTATGGAGGGATACCAAGCTGGAGGTGGTGGGCCCATCTTAGCATTCCCGAGACAGAGAACAAAAAGAATTTGGTACACCCTCTTCCTGGCCCTTGCTGTCTTGAAGGAGGTGAAGGAGGGAGAAACGGGAAGGGTGGACCAGCAGTGGGCGACCAGTACAATTTTGAGCTGCGTGAAATTGTTGAGGGATGCGCCTTGCTATTAGAGTACTATCAACCAACGATTCGGATGTTCTCATTACCAGTGGGTCACCCAAGAGCATGTCTGCTTTGGTGCTTGGCTTTTGCCACGAACTTCGGCCGTTGCCGGGACCTGGGCGCTTAGCGCTTATCCTTCGGGTTCCATTCATGAGCTGCTGTGTAAAGTTTGGTATTCAAACTCATTGCAGGTAAACGCAATAACGGACCTCAGCGCGAGCTGCCTGCTGGAGATTGACTGATCGTTATGTCTTATTGAAATTCACAACAAGATTTACATGAAAGTACACATAGTCCTCGTTCCACTCGTTCTCGCGTTATATAGTAGCTTGAGGATTATCAGGAAATCAAAAATTCCTGGGTTCTTATCCGACGATAATTCCAATAGAGCCGTACTTGCTCATACATGCATCCCTAAATATCTTCAAGTCGTCCACCTCCAGGGAACGTCCGAAGGCATACCAGGACTGAATTTCGCGGATGGTGAATGAATTCCTGTTGTATCTGACAAGAAGAAGATTCAGGATATTCACTGCATCATCTAGGTTTTTTTCTTCTGCGAGTTCTTCATGCAGTCGGGCTTGAAGCTCAGGAGTCATAGTAGCTTCCTGAGGGTGACTAGACGGTCCTGCACCTGAGTGATAGGACCCAGCTGGAGGTTCTGGAGGTCCTGCGTTTGGGTAGTACACGCCTGGGAGATAATTGACAGGGCCCGAGGAGGGGTAGAGAGGTCCAGGGGCACAATTCTACGGTCTGGTGGAGGGGTAGTACGATCCAACGGGATAGTTTGATGGTCCCATGGGGTAGTATTGCCCAGGGAGGTATCCTGACAGGCTGGCTGAAGGGTACGAAGACCCAGGGGGGTAGATTATACCAGTGTACAGCTGAGCAGATGAAGGTCCAGAAGGATAGGGATATGGCATCATTAGGTCGCCGCCGTGCTAGGCCGGAAAGCTAGGAGCCAAAGGAGGATGGTTCGAAGGTATTTCGAGCTTTTTAGCCTCTCTCTTATAGTGTTCAGATATGTGATATCTCTCATCAGGCGCTTTGGATGCTTTGTTGACCAACTGAAACTTCCAATCAGCGGCGTACAGAATCAAACCACTGAAGTTGCAGATGATATCCCCTTGAGCCAAGGAGTCGTCAAATAAAGTCTCGCATCCGTCGTGGTTGTTGACATAGGCAATCATGTCTGCGTTGATCCAATTAGACGGGAAGGAAGGCTTCTTAATGACATAATTTTTCCCGTGGCTAATCTCGTCAGGGTTGTGGGTGAAGTAGTCAACATCCTTAGTCGTGGAGCGATTCCGAAGGACTAAGACAGAGCACGCCCCGCCAGCGACAACGATCTGAAGAGGGGCCCGAATTCCCGTACGCTGTCGTTTATCAGTGATATAATCTCCGAGATACTGAAGTCCTGTTAACGACATGAGATTTGGCATGGAAACGTCTCAAAAGGAGACCAAACGTACCCTGATGTAAATCCTGCTCAGTGAGGAACTTTTTCTCAGGAGGCTGTCCGCGAATAGCATCGCGAGAGATGGCTTTTCTGAGTTTCTTGAGGAAGGACATGGTCAATAAGATGAGAAGATTTGATGTTTCGTTCATCCGTCCACGTCCGTCTTTTAAATCATGCTGTAGGTCCAATCGATAAAGAAAAGATCGATAAAGGAGTCATTGCTACACCAGTAGGCGTGAGCAACCGCATTGCCAAGAACCACGAGCCATATCTCGTTCTCATGATGAGACACAAGCGCCCAATCTTAGGGAAAATAGCTAGTCATTTTGCATAAAGGAGGCTTATCTTGAGTATATTGACTAATCATGCGGGTGCCTAGATGCGCGGCCTTTCGCTTCAACGGGCGCTTGTTTCTATTTGTCGCCTGTCGCCGAATTATTTGCGAATTATTCTTCAACCCCCCAGCCAACAGAGAAAGTGCTCCTATTATTACGACCTCAGAAATAGCAAAAGCATCTGACTTGAGTACCCTGAAAATGAAGTTCAAGAGTATGACAAGAGATGTGCTGCAACTCGCTTGGAGGGTTGCTGTGCATACTTATCCCGACATTTCGCCGAGACATTCGTGTGAATATTTGGTCGTTACGCCCACAACATGGTTTTATCAGTGACAGCAGCTGATTGAACCTGATAGTTGAGTATTTCGAGTCAGGAGTCATACCCCTTGCCATCGCCGCCTATTGGCCGGCTATGGATCTGCCTCCACCGTCTCACCTCAAGCGTCTTCGTCTTTATTTTGTTTGCTGGGGGAGGGATATGTCGGTGAAGTTCTTGAGCCCTTTCAGCTTTCTTGCCGCGTATATGGATTCCGTCTTTGAGAGGAATTTTTGCGCTGACCGACCACCTACACAGCACGCCCCACTCATTTCGCCGTGGAGTCGAGCTCCTCTGGCCTTTTCCGTGGCACCTCCGCGCCCCACCCTCCCGATCCCCTCATGAACTGATCGCTGAAGACAACGACTACATAGTGAGGCAGAAAACCCAAGTCGTCAACTACACCCCCCTCCGTTCAATGGGCCTCTTTCGCAACCGCGATACGCCTCTGCGTGCCATTTACAGGCTATACGAGTGGCTTTGCACGAACTCTATTAACGAGGTCATGGAGGAGACCTGGTATCTCTTCAACCTCCAGCCTACGTGGGTGCTGAAGGATATCGAAGATCCTAAGGACCCAGATCCCATCCGTTACGCGATCCTGGCTGCCGTCGTCGAGCTTTTGGTCCTCTCGTTTAACAAGAAGATTAAGTTGGGGTTACGACGTGGTATCACAACGAAGAAGCCTCTGATGGTCTTCGAGTTCAAGAAAGATCCCAACCCCCCGTACGAGGAAGCACCTCCTTGGTGCGCCGAAGTCCCAGGCCCACCAGAAACGTTCAGGTCAAGTCCTAAGTTTATGTACACAGTACTGTCAGTCTTAAAATCTTACTCCCAAATCATCAGTAAATCGGTACTGTTATTGCATTATATCTGTAGACGAGGGTGCAGCACGGCCGAAAGGTTGTCTGGAGCCCGTTGTTCAGCAATGGACCATTGGACACCAAGTTAACATCGCCTCTGTCGATTCAAACGGGAAATCGAAATAGCGCATTTGAGCAAGAGGTATACTAATTACATCGGATTATGAAAGAAAATAGGCAAGGTGTTCAATCGATTTAAGTTTCAAACTTCGATGGGTGTCTGTCATTGGGCTAAGAAGAAAGACAAACAGCGCCCGGGCGGGTCTAATCTCTGCGAAATACCATGAAGAAAATAAGACAGTTGTTCATGAGTCATGTCGTTCTGTTGCAGACTAAATTTACGCCTGCGCCTTCGCCGCCTCTGCCGCCCTGGCAGCAGCACTAGCCTTCTCTGCTTGGGCAATGTGGAAATCTCGCTCACTGCGTTCCCTGAGGGCCTATGAAAGGATAGACCTGTTAATGCCCAACGACGAGCACAGTCAAGAAAAGAGACGCACGTCCTTCTCTGACTCAGAAAGAGCATTGAACTCTGCCGCCAGCTGCTTCCCCCTCTCCGCGAACGGAATGATGTTGTCTTCAGGCGACCTATCCTTCCAGAACTCACGGATGAATCTAAAAGCAAAGGGGGAAGAGAGCTAGGTAAGAAGAAAAAGGCGGGGAAGCGGGTGAAATGTGCACGTACTGGGAGTACGCATTAGGAGGGCGAGGGATTCGTCTGCTCCGCCTGCGTTTCTTGATGGCCTTCTTGACGCCGAGAGTCTGAGCCTGATACCACTCCTCTTTCTTCTTAAGATATTCTGCAACGGACTCGGGAGATGGTTTGTACGCCTGTGTATGCTTGAGTTCGAGGTAAGCGACGAAGGAGGGAGCGGCGTACATCCTTCTCGGTTTGGGAGAGGCGTCCCCAGGCCGCGGCGATTTCCGCCATATTTTGCGTTACGATGGTACCCTTTGCGTCGTGCGTCCTGAACCACTCTCTGGCGAAGGCAGGGAAGGCACCGGCAGGCCTCTTGAACGGCGGTTTCAAGTCCCTGACGCGGTCTGGGTTGCAAAAACGAACACGAGAAACAGTCAGGGACCTCCCCCCCCCCGGTTAGGCGCGTCTACGGAAGCGAAGGGGCAACGAAGCTGGCAAACGGCATTGAAGACGTACACTTCACAGCTTTTTTCGCAGCGACCTTCCTCTTCACGACCCTCTTTTTGGGTTTGGGTTTCGCTGCAACCTTTTTCTTCTTAGTCGCCTTCTTGGTTGCCTTTGCCTTCGTTCCCTTCGCCTTTGCCTTTGCTTTGGTAGTCGACTTGGCCTTCGTCGAAGTGGCCTTCTTACCAGCCGCAGCGGGCTCCTCGACGTGCGCAGTCGTGAGGAAGGTCCGACGCGCCAGCAGCGACATCTTGGTGGTATTCATAGCGTGTGATAACACCGCGGTCCTCAAATGGGACACGGCGGCAGAACCAGGACGAGCTGTCCGGAAGAGCGCTGTCCGCCCAAGGGCGTTGCGAAGAAGTGGAATGAGCATGGTTGCGTCGTGAGAGCTGGAAGACGCGGAATATGTTGGGTTGGGCTCCAGGGTCGCGAAGTGTTGGCAACGCTCGACGGCTGTGCCAAGCATCGCCAAACAACGCGTCCACCTGATCGGGACCGACCGAGGCGCGTCTTGCTCCCGCTTGGCTCATTCAGGTATAAGTAAACAAGGGATAAATACTCCACCAATTATCTATCGATATTTCACGTACGACAGTCGGATGGATTTAATTTCTAAACGTACGCCAATAAGTAAACGTATCGTGGGGAACAGTCACAACCCCATGCTCGTCGTACATGATATAAGTACTAGCCGGTGGAGTTTTCATAGAATGGGCGCCATTCCTGAGCCACTTATTCTTCCAAAATCCATAATGTGTTAGGGGTGAGTTCTCACCTGAAATTTTGTCTAAAAAGGAGTCCTTCCCATCGTCATCTGAATCCTATCCGGTTCGGGCACGGAGGAAGTGCTGTGTGCGATATCGCGGCCTCCATGTTACAGTATGTGAGGGAAAGCCAAACTCCTCTCTTTCAGTGGATATTCAAAACTAATGAATGAGCCTGTCCCTTATCTTTCAGCATTTAAAACAACAATCAAATCGACGAGTTTGATGGCCTAAAAAATTATGTGGTCGGCTCTGGACACAGGCATACTGATAGGTACGTCAGATTATACCGGAAGAAATGAGTTCAAACAGTGAATATTTTTTTAAGTGGTCTTCGCGCTAATCTTCAGCCTCTTCCCAAAGAACGCAGTAAATTCCCAGGCCGTTTCGCTGATTTCTAGGAAGAACTCCATCCTTGTCCTCATACACCGAAGAATCAATCTCAAGATGGAGGGAGGAAGAGGGTAGGCTGCATTTGGGAGTGCAGAAAGCTCTCTCCGTTGCCGAGGTGAAACATTAAAAGCTGGTGGCGGTAGTACAACTGCTTCGGCGATTGCATTATGATGTTCCGCGTGTGCTGGTAAATTTATTGGTATATCTCGTTCCCCGAGATATTTTCTTGAAAGCCGGATATCTTACAAGGCAACTGCCCCCGGAGCTGGTCGCATTGGGAAGGGGCCGATCACTGTTCGGAACTTCCCTTTATGCACATTGTGGCATCTGATGCAGCACTCGAGGACATGAGCATGAGCATTGAGGATATGGGCCACTGGAATCTATATGTAGTCACCGACAGTAGGCGGTTCCTCTTCGTACTTTCTCGCTCGCCTCGTACTCGCTCGATCAGTCCTCGAAGTTCGACTGGCTTGTAAACATGGTTTCCAAAGCCATGTGAGCATATTTTGTCATCGTAAAGGGTAGACTAATGCAGCAACCCAGAGATTTATCTAATATTAAGAACTTTACATAGCCGGTGTTAATAGGTACATACTCAGATACGAATTGTCTTATCGGAGAAGGAAAGGAATCAGCCATGCAAACGATCAGACGTCGGTACTAGTTCTAGCATTAGTCCTATAGATGCTTACCGCATACAAGGTAAGCTGTCATTCAGGACGAACCGGATGGTCCCTCTTCAAGAGAAAGAATCAGCCGTTCGGCTTCCCGTGATCTAGGTGTAATAGAACACTTGAAGGGCGCAGGATGCCTGGAAACTGGTCAGGGAGAGTTTCAGACAAATAAAACAGATACTTACATGACCATAGAGGAGATGTACTCCTGATTGGGCACAATCGGATCCCCGTGGACATCCTTGGCCATTGAGATATCGTAAACCGTCAGGATCGACGCAGCTGCGATCCAAAGTGTCGAAATGGCTATATGCCTCCCGGGGCAGATCCTGCCAAACCAATCAGCACTTCCTCGATCTATGTATGCGCAGCTTAATGCAACGCTTACCTTCGCCCAAAACCAAAGGCCACTGTTGGCTCCCTGACGTCCCTGCTTAGCTTCCCGTTTTTCAAGAACCTCTCGGGGCGGAACTCGAGTGGGTCAGGGTACTCTTCTTTGTCGTGCAAAATTGCCCATGCGTTCCCTGCCACGATCGAACCTGCTGGGAGGAAGTAGCCATTGTACTCATCGTCTTCAGCAAGATAGTGCGGAATCGCTAGAGGTGTGATCGCTCGCCAGCTTCAGGGAGATAATTAAACCTCTCGAAGGCTACTAGAACGCAAGGAAAGCGTACCGAAGGACCTCCTTGACAATGGCCGAGAGGTAAGGAAGAGAGGGCTCGTCTTCGAAGTCAGGCAGTTGGCCTTTAGCTACAACATAGTCTATCTCTTCCTGAGCCCTTCGTTGTATCTCTGGGTAACAGGTCATCGCGAGGATGAAGGTGTTGATAGCGGAGACCGTCGTGTCAGAGCCACCTGTATAACATCAAGATGAATTCCTTCTAGCATAAAATATTAGGAATCGTACCGACGAAGAAATTGCCTGCTGTATCTTTGATTAATTTCGTCTGATGTTCGACATCCCTGGTCTCATCAAGACTGTTCAAGCAGAGCGAGACGAACGACGGCTTCGCCGTACCCTCCGCCTAACGTCAATACCTCAGGTCAGCAAACCCTCAAAACACCAATTGACCACTTACAATCTCCTTCTGAGCGGCAGCAAACGGGACCTCGAGCAGCCTCCTCGTCCACTCGCTCCATTCCTTTGCTTTTTTCTGGAAGCCCGCACCGGGCATCCAAGCTGGGACATACTTAAGGATGGGGATAGAGTCGACAAGGAATGCACCGGGTGCCGCGGATGCGGCAAGCCCAACCACTGCCTGTTCGGCGATTTCAATATGGGGGTCATCGAGGTCGTGTATTTCGATGCCGTAGGCAAGCGCAAGGGTGATGGCCCCTGCCATGCTAATAATAGACCAAAGCTCGTGTTAGCGGAGATGGAGGTGGGCTCGGTCCGAATGAAGGAGAAAATATCGAGATCGAGGGACTGGGAAAGTGAGAGGCAACGATAAGAGTAGAAAAATAGGCTTACTGCCGGATGTGTTCCATGAACCTTTCAGGGGAGTCAAGCAGACGGCGAAGCATCCTGTGGGTGTATTCCACCTCACGCGGCTGGTGTATCTTGATCTCGTTGGGGTGGAAGTGCTGCTGGAAGAGCCGCCTGCGCTCCCTCCACGGCTCGCCGTACGCCATAAATCCAAAGAGCCAGCTCCATCCGACGCTGCGGTCGTTGGAAATGATCGAGGAGAGCCGAGAGAGAAAGCAACAAAACGACGTCAGCTATCCGTCAGGCGCTTAGGTACGTAGGACGAGCATGGGAAGGAGGGAATGAACGAAATCGATCTGATGCTTACAGCTCGTAGACCATCGTAGACCATACTCTGCGAGACGGAAAGAAGTGAGCATGGGGCGGAGCAAGAGTGGATAGGGCACACCGGCTGGAGTAGAGAGCAGAGCGTTTTTCGAATAGCTCAACAGCAGCCTTGTGCGTATTCACGATGATGATAGAAGTACCGGCAGCGTCGAGGTGAATTAGGTCAGAGCCTAGGGGGGTGTAAGAATGGGGATTGATTCGATGGAGATGCTTGCTCACCATATTGTTCACCCCATTTCGCGTATGTTTCCCATTCGAAAGACGTCGGCAGTTGGAAGTAATTGCCAACGAAAGGCGCTTTCTTGGGCCCTGGAGGCAAAGGCAGGCGTGATCGCGGTCGTTGGTAGATAGCGAAGACAATGACCGCGACAACGAAAAGAACGTAGGGGTTCACGTTCAGAGACTCGGAAAGCATGGACTCGGCGTGGTGACCTTGCTGGCCAGGAGAAGAGAAATATTCTGCGCCTGTGAGAGAGTAATGAACATCGGTTTTATATGAGGTTGGAATGCAGCACCATTGGCTCTAATTAGGCACACAGGGACTCAGCACCGAGCGAAAATTTAGCAATCGTCAATACATCGGCCTTCGGCGGTGTCTTTAGAAATAGGTTGCAATGACATAATGCTGGACTTGAGGGGAATGTTGGTTGTAGCTGTACGACTGTGGGTTGTGCGATCGCCCCGGAGTGGTTTACCTGTTTGTCTTCTTGTCGAGTGACAGACAGGTGATGGACGTTTGCCAGGAACCCGTGTAGACCCTTTGAAAGCTGGAGGTCCCTCGACGAAAAATACGAGGGCCAAAGGAAGAGAGAACGGGCGTTGCGCGCAAGGCCGTGATGAAATGAAAGAGGTGATTTGCACAACATAATGAACTATGTTGAACTTGTTGCCATGTACGCATGGCTAAGGCAGGCCGAGGGCTCATACCGATGGAAACAGGGGTGGCCGCGTATGTACGCTCCTGCGGAGAGCACGCACGGCTCCACGGTTTCATGGGAATAGAACTGCGACACTGTGAATCGTAATACGTGCGTATGAGCACCCATGCCGTGATACGTTAGATCGATTAAGATGACCTGGATAAATAACGAATAGCCCAAAACCCATTGCAATTCTCTACGTAGTTGAAACCTTCAACTTCTGGCGGTGTCAATGTACTGTTTTGGCCTCTCAACTACGCAGATGTCCAAGGTTGCGAACTCGGAAGTAGACTTTTGAGTGGGTATTCATCGTGGAAAGGCCCTGATTTTCCTAGAACTTAGCATCACATGCGGGGTCACAGTTTGTGTATACGCACCAGGACCTCTTGATTGTCCTCCCGGCGTTTTGTCGTTCACCTAGCTAGTCCTGACGATGTGGATGGCGACAAAGACGAAAGATAAAAATGATAGTAGTGAGTCACTGTGGGAATTTACTTCCAAATTATGTAACGGCTGGAATGGTTTCTTGTGCTCACCAACGTCCAGCTGCTCTACTAGATCATTGGCAATGCCCATATTCTCTCTGGGAGGGCTTCTTAGAATCTTGAAACTTCGGATTTGATCAACGACATGCAGCCGACTTTGAGCTGCTTGAAGGAGGTGCATACCACCGACACAATGGGACTAAAAATCTCTGAAAATCAGCGCACTGGTGTTCTCGTGCTCAGTGGTTCCATGTGGGCTGTAGGCGTGGTGAGTGATAATAGGCTGAGGGGATCTTTGCTAACCGACAACAGTTCATTCGTCCTGTCAAAAGCCTCCGGAGTTTCATCGACATCCGCCACAAACTTAACAAGCTGTCCCTCTTCAGAATACCTGGCCCCTTTGAACGTCGCTGTCACATAGTGGGGTTTGATTCATAACAGGATCATTTTGACTTGAAGATAGTGAAAAGTGAAAGAAGGCCCGAGGAGTAAAAATGTGTGCAGAGCTTATATGTATGTGGCCGAGAGTTTTCTGAATTGCCTCTATCATCCGGATCCGAGTTGCCCAGGATGTCGACCCTGAGGCCTGACCGACGACCCTTCATGAGCGCTCTGTCAATGGTTGGTTCCCTTCTTTTCTGTTGCTCTTTCGTCCACCGCTACGTCCTTCGACGCTTCCACTCTTTTGAAACCTGGGCCAACAATTATCTGGGCCTCATGTCGGTGTATGAGGCTTCGATAGACGACAGTGACACCACAGTTCTGTATTCCAACGGCTGGGTGCCAGTGACGGAGGATGGAACATGGAGGGGGACAATGCACTCCACGTCTATAATTGGCTCCACCGTTAGGATTCGCTTCAGAGGTAGGCGCTTTCTTTCTGATCCAAGAATACGCGATTTTTACGACATTCACGATCTCAGGTTCTGCAGTCGCCGTTATCTGTACGATTCCAACTGGTGGTGAAGGGCAAAGGAGTATGGCAACCGTCAGCCTCGACGGCGGGGATCCTGTTCTTGTGTCGGCATTGACGACGCCTCCCGTCCAGTGGAACTATGAGTTCTTTAAGGCCGACTCCCTTCCATTTGCCTCCCATCTCCTCGTCATCACGAACGCAGGAAATGAAGCATATCTTCGGCTGGACCGCATTGATTACGACCCTACGGATAGCCACGCCCCGAGGACGTGAGTCGCCGAGCTCCGTATATTCAGCGCAGGATATGAACCTTTTGCAGGCCGACGACCACTCCCCAAGCCCCAGCTGCCGTAACGACAACCGCGACCTCTGTTGTTGTACTTCCCGGATCTTCAACAACACGAAATGGTGGCGGAGTTGGCCAATCCTCGACCTCAAGCCAAGGCAAGTCGTTGGACTGAATACGCACAAAGGCCAGAGTCGACACTAATTGTTCTCTGCAGCTTCTGCACTTCAAGGAAGTGTAGTCACTGATTCGATGATCCTGTCTGGATCGCCTGGTGGCTCATTCTCAACTGAGAGCATACCGCCGTTGACCGCCTCTTCCTCTCAGCAAACCTCCTTGGGCTCAATCAACTCGGACAATGATACCTCCGGTGCCAGCCAGTCTTCGGAATCTCCACTGGCCGCAATCCTCGGCGGCGTTCTTGGCGGTCTACTCTTCCTGGTCCTCGTCGCTGGCCTTATCTTCTTCCTCTGTCGTCGTCGACGTCGAAAAGCGGCTGCGAGACAAGCAGGATCCGGCCCCGACTTTCCTACCGGCAAGTCATTTACTCCTTTTTTCGACATATCTCATGTTATTCCTACAGTTGAAACAACTCAGAGGCGCACCGTTCCTACCCCCTACGACCTGGCCCTCGGTTACAACACGCCTGACTCCTCGCAACAGCATTTTGGTTCATACGAGGAAGGATACCCCCAGATGTCGACGCCGACTAGGTCGGAAGGTGGCTTGAGCTCGCAAACAGCATTGCTGTCTCCTGTGCGACGGACCGAAAAAGAGATGTTGGCTGCCCGTCTTTCTAGAGCAGGTCTTGTATCGCAGGAGGCCCCGCCGGCATACTTCGCTAGCTCTCCTGCTTATTAGTCGTATCAAATACGTTCTTTTCCCTCCACGTTCGTTTTCTCGCTTTCAATCGAGTGTGCATTAGTTACTTACATGTACTCTGTAACTAAGGACCGCCTCATATCTCGCTACGTCGCTTTATCGAACGAAATGCGCTTTTAATTTCCTTTCTACCTTATATCCCGACCAAGCCCGCTATCACTTCTGCCTGACATCAAGAATGGCGGAGTGCGGTGATAACGGGAGATCGATAAGACCGCAGGCCTTTCTCGTCGACCTTACTTTTGAATCAATCCTCTTTGCAGGACTACGGCATTTCAGACCTCTGTTAACCACCGCGTCTACCCTTCGAGAAGTCGTCCTCTCGTAGAATGAGCGCGGGGAATTTTCAGTTCATGTTGTTGCACACGGGTTTCAACTCCCAAGCCAACAATGTGTGCACACAGGAGTAACTCGCACGCAACATTCATCGGCGCATTCTGATGCCAATCAATGCGCCCGTCGCCTTTGTCGATTGTGGGTGTGTGCAGGAGTGTGGACCCACTATCTACTAGCTAAAAAATATGCCGACCCCATCTCTTTCTTTCGATTCCTCCTCTTCCGCTCCCAGCCTACCTTCGAGTGAGCCTTCCCTTCGTTTATAAGGCTTAAAACGCCCCTCTGCGCAATAATGTCGTTCTACGAGGCATTCCTGGACGACAATGATTCCTCGGCAGTCATATATTCCGATGGGTGGAATGTTATGACCCAGGACGGTAGCTGGACTGGATCGATGCACCAGACGGCCAGAATTGGCTCATATGTAAGGATTCGATTCACAGGTCGGTACCCTTTAATGTTCCTTAAATGTCTAACCACAGATGGCTGAGTGGTTCTCATAGGTTCGGCCGTCTCCATTATATGTACCATACCCACAGGCTCGCAGGGCGAGCGCGTTCTCGCGTCCGTCAGCATCGACGGAGGTCTGCCTGTCAATGTATCGGCCACATGCACTCCTCCAGTCCAGTGGAATTATCGGCTCTTCACCGCCGAATCGCTCCCGTATGGGTCCCACCTTCTGGTCATGACCAACACCGGGAACGAGAACTACCTAAGGGTGGATCGTGTTGACTACGATCCCACGGACAGGTATTCTCCTAAGACGTGAGCAATTTCCTTGTGCTTTGATGGCGCTTAGGATGACCGTTCGCAATTAGGTCGTCTACTCAAGCTCCACCTCCGCCAGCTACATCTGTTGTAGTCGTTACAGCCTCGCCTGTAGCTAGAAACACCCCCGCGCACACCATCTCCTCAACGATTTCTCTTCCTGGTGAGCGGCGTCGCGTGTATCATCTATCCATCAGTGAAAATTGATCATGACACTCCTTAGGTTCAATTGGTCTTTTGGCACAGAATATATCTGCCACCTCCGATGTTGTGCCTAGTACCAGTACAACTGACAGCGCATACGAGAACTCGATTACAAGCTCTCCGACAGCGACAGCGATTACAGCTAACGACATTGTGGGTGCTGGGTCCCACTCATCGCCTTCCACGGTAGCTATTGTCGGAGGTGTTCTTGGTGGTCTTTTGACTCTCGTTATTTTGGGCATCATCGCATATTTTCTTCGTCGCCGTCAGAAGGAGCGATCGCGCCGCCTCCAAGACATGGATCTGACCCAGGAATCTTACCCCCATAGATGTAAGTGTGTTTTCCTCCGGATTCCGTCTCGGAAAAATCTGATAATATCTCCTGGGACTAATAGCACCAGAGATCGAAGTCGTCACCACCGCTACCCCTTTTGTGCTATATCCACTTCTCACTCAGCCATCGGTAGAGTCCTTTAGCAGACCTTCGACGCGTCACCTGCACATGCCCATCACGGATGAAAAGGGAGATCGAGGACTTGGCCGGCGCTGGTCCATCGGCAGCAGCCAGGTTTCAGCCTCAGTCTCGGGACATTCGACATCCCAAGCGGCTCTCATAGACATATCTTCATCTACACATAATATCTCTCCTACTCGTTCAGACCATGCGCCTCTTACGCCTCTCAGAAAGGGGATGAGCGCAAGTGCCTACCCACAACTAACGTACCACGAGGCTCCTCCAGCGTACCATGGCGGTGGGTCGGCGTAGGCATCCGTCAAGTAACGTACATTCTCTTCCTGTATCCACGCACATTCCTTTCCGTTCATCAATATGTATCGAGTCCAACTTTGCTGATTAGGCTCGTTGGATCTGAGCTTGGGATGCTCACCGAAGAAGGTAATACTTTCCCACAGGTTATTGGACGACGAACTTGGCATTTGCCCTCTACTCTTACTTTCAGCACTCCTTGTTATGGACAACTTCGACGATCGCTTGAGGCCAAGCCCTCTCTTCACCACATCTACCACAGTAAAACTTGCAATGAAACTCGCGCGACCGGGTCTCTGAACTCTAATCAAAGAACAACTACCCGTTCGAGAGTAAGTCCAACTTTGCTGGGGTCCGGAATTGCAGAAGTTGCGAAAGTCAAGTCGCATCAGACTCGTGGTGAGAAGAGAGGAAATCAAAGATAGATACTAGGTCCTGAGACCTGAAGCTCCATCACGACATCTTCCTTCCGGCGCTGAAGTTACCCTGAATCAGTCAGGCCATATCAACCCTGCTGAAGCTTCAGATTTCTGCTTTGTCTCCTCCTCCCTTTCTCACTTTCTCCCATAGAGGTCTCACACATCCGTTTCCCATCACTCTCATTATTCTGTAGAATCCTATGTCGGTCTATGAAGCATCAATAGACGACAACGACGCAGCGGTTTTGTACTCGAATGGCTGGGTGCTTGTCTCGGAGGACGGTTCTTGGACCGGAACTATGCATTCAACATCTGTGGTCGGCTCAACTATGAGAGTGAGATTCAGAGGTGTTTTTTTTCCCTAATACTTCACGTAGCAACAGATTTTGTGCTGAACCTCTCTCAGGCTCGGCGGTCGCCGTCATTTGCACGATCCCTACTGGCAGCAGTTCGCAGCACAGCATGGCATCCATTAGTATCGACGGAGGCCCACCTGTGACTGTTTCTCGTCAAACGACCGGTCCGGTCCAATGGAATTACCAGCTTTTCACAGCCGACTCGTTACCATTTGGGTCTCACCTCCTGGTCATGACGAACACTGGAGGAGAAACTTATTTACGATTCGACCGTATTGACTATGACCCGACGGACAGTCATGCTCCAAAAGCGTACGCCATTTTCCTCAAGTGAATATTTTCTATTGACATTCAATAGGCCCGCGCCACCGCCTGCTGCTGCTCCTACAACAACGACATCTGTTGTAGTACTTACCTCTGCATCCACGCAGCTTACACAGGACACCGCCAGTTCCGATCGCTCTTCTAGCGCCAATGTACCGTCCTCGTCCCAATCCGGTGAGTTTCGCTCTCAATACGCGACTCAGCGTTTAGCTTAAATAAGCCGCCCTTCCTAGTTCCTCTTGATCCTACCGCTCCTGCCCAAGGCCATTCGAATTCGACCACCACTGGTATAGATCCAACACCTTCGACCCCAGCTTCACGTTCGACGCCGGCTATCAATCCGCCAGGGTTCACTTCGAAGAGCGACAACACTACTATTGAAGCTGCATCAACTTCCGGAACGCCGACTGCCGCAATCATCGGTGGCATTCTTGGAGGAATCCTGTTTTTGGTCATCGCTGCGATTCTACTCTTTTCAATTTTACGGTGCCGTCGAAAGCGCTCCCACCTTCACGAGTCAAGTGACCACATTGATTCGCCTCGACGTAAGCTTCTTTGCCAATTATTGGCTTCCACTACAACATATCCATTACAGACCGGCCGGCATACATGAGCACCATACCAACTCCATTTTTCCTAGCTCCTCAGACCAGCGAACATTTCCAGTCTATCATCGGGTCATCCTCTGTTGTCGACAGCCGACCCAGTGCTCCTCCATCCATCTCAGAGAGTACAACATCCCAGACCGCCCTCATCACCGAATCTTCATCAGCCTCTTTCACTCGCCTGGCTTACTGTGCAGACACACATTGCCAGCTATATTCCCAAGCCAATGAAAAGGCCGGATGGAATGACGACCCTTCCACAGATGCGGCTGTCAGGGAAGCGCCGCCGGCCTACTATGAGAGGCGGTCTGGCTTGCAGTAATCGTTGCGGTTTCAAGCATAAGATCACCTAGTACTGGTAAAGTTCCTATAATTTGGCCTTTTATCTCAGTGACCATTGTTTATATACTTCCTTGTTGAGGATGCCTTGACCCCGGGGGGAAGAGTTATCACAGGGACGGCAATCATTGCCATTGGTCTTACCGTAACCTTACAATGTTTGCGAGGCCCCATATTTACGTTCACGTGCCTCTTCCGACGCTTCCTGAAAGGATATTCTCCACCACAACGCTCAAAAATGCTTTCAAATGGTTCAAGCTTCACAAAAACTTTGAAAAAGGTAAACCCCCCTACTGAGAATCACTCATAGCTCTGGCGTCGTAATGTGTTCGAGCTCCGTCATCATTTCTCCTCCGTCATGACACTCAGGTTGAACTTCCGACGTTTCTGATCAAGGAACTTGACCTCCGCCATACATGGTGATCGCATAACCCAAAATGGCAACAAAGTCTGCTACACCACGTGATGATCGACGGAGACTCGTCACCGCGTCTGCGTCTCTGACTCTCTCTGACTGCGACGCTGAGCTGCTTGCACTGCAGCCTCGAGCCCTGCCTCTCTTCAATTCTTTGTTCGAGAACGACAATCTCACTAGTACAACTTGTCACGTTTCCGATGCGGACACTCCACAGCCCTTGTTCCTTTTTGGGCAGCCGAGATTTGCCCGCAATACGGTACTCTGTTCAACGTTACTTACGAAATGAAAAGCATGGATGCTTCTTGTCGTACGTATACAACCTGCAGCTGCTGCGGACAGTCTTCTCGATAAACGCCGACGCACGCCTGCTCGCCCTTGTCTGCACCAGCTTCCGGGGGCACCGGGGCTCCCAATTGTCGTGACGGGCGTGTCTTGAACACAGAGCTAGCAACGTAGTTACGTTGTTTTCAAGCCTGCACGGATCCCTGGAGCAGGCGTGAAAATACGCCACTTACGAAATGTGCCTGACAGCTCAAGCGAACGGTAGAAAAGGTGGACATTGTTTGTTAGAGCGACTGTTCCTGCCTCTCCCTTTTTCCTCTTTCCTTCATTTTCTCTCTTTTTTTGTTTTCACGACGACGCTCATTTTATTCTAACACCATACGCTGAGAGGCCGGCATCCTTCAACCATGTCTATTTATCCTGCATCTATCGACGACAACGACCCCGCTTTTATCTATTCACCCGGATGGGAGCTTATCACGAAGGATGGGCAGTGGACGGGAACAATGCATTCTACGGACAAGACGGGAGCCTTTGCTAGGGTCAGATTTACTGGTGAGCCACTCGAATTTCGAAATCTCTGGCGAGACGTCTTATGCTGTCACGTAGGATCAATTATTGCGGTCATTTGCACGATACCCACAGGCAACGGCCAGCCAGTATCGGCTAACTTCACGATCGACGATGGACCACCGACTTTCGTGTCGCATGAATCTACTCCGCCGGTACAATTTGAGAAGATATTCTGGGACTCTGGGCCACTACCAATGGGAAACCACCTCTTGACGATTACTCATGCGGGTCCCAATATGTACCTTCGCGTCGATCGCGTCGACTACGACCCAACAGATAGCCATGCCTCAAGGGTTGATTCACCGGCGTACGTCAGTGTTGCTTCCATCCCGTTAATTCTGCCTCCTGATTTATGCTTAGCCCACAAGACCCTGTTTCAATCCCCATCGTCACCTCGGTAGTGACGAGCATCGTCGCTGACTCAACATCAGTAGTCGCACTTCCCGGCACCAACACTATAACCTCGTCAAGTAACCCACAACCAGTGTCTTGTAAGTCGCTATTTATCCTCGAAAGTCTGGATTTATGAACACAGTTGTTGTCAGCACCGAGCGTCTCGACATTCATACAAACTATTTTGGCTACTGTATCATCATCTCCGGGAAATCCGACAAGTATCACGGACACCTCGAGCAGCGCAAACCCGACTGCGAGCAACACAGGAGTTGAAGCAAAGAAAACAAACCTCGCGCTCATCGTAGGCGGGGCCTGTTGCGCTGTTGTCCTTCTCGCTATACTAGGGATTACGCTTGTAATTCTTCTTCGTCGGCGGCGTCGGCATAGAGATGCCACCGCTCTAGCTGACGAGACTGTATCCTCTGAAGGTCAGTTGTCGCTCTGTGTCTCCACATGTTAATCCATTAATTCATTGCATTAAGTTCCTCGCCCGTTTTGGGTAGAACCCCTGCCCATTGTCTCCTCAGCAGCTTCCGCAACCAGTTCCCTGTCAAACCACGATATAAAAATCCCACTAGGTCTTTTCGATAATACACAACCCAAATCCACCTCGAGGAATGGATCGCCGACAAACCCCCCCGCGCTATCATATGCCCTCTCCCCCGCCACGCATCACGCTGCCTCGAACTCACAATCCTCTTCCCAGATAAGCTCGCCTATCTATTCCATTGACAACCATCCGGACCCGCTCTTGGAATCTCCGCCTGCCTATCAAGCTCACTTACGCGCTTCAAACATGCCATATGCACCGCCTCGCTAGCTCTGCTGTCGCTCTCACTGTTCTCGCTGTTTCACGCTCTTGCTTTACTCGCCGCTCTCGCATTGCAACAGGTCTTATACTAAACTCTAGCTATTCATATCACCACGCTTTCACGCTCTCACTTGCTCACTACTATCATAATGCTTTCTTGTCGTCATGCTCGTCGTAGCTGTATTGTTTAAATAAATCGGATTTTGCTGTCTTTCTAGGGGAAGCAGTCGTCAGATTTTGATTCACTGGTCGATTTTCATCCAGTAGGGAATGTGGGATAGGCCAAATTAATATCGCGGAGGCAATAAATAAGCCGACGAGGGTGTTCCCGTTCTAGTTCCAGAATAAGGCATAGGGTTGCCTAAACAGTCATTAAGGCCAAGCAATGGTTCTATGTAGGATCTACCGTATTTTCTAGCAAGACAACGCGTGGATAGTCGCAAACCCCGGTTCCTCGGTTGAATTTCATGAACTTCCAAGTCACGGTTGACCGGTGGACCGGTGACCAGTCATCGGGAAGGCGGTCCGGTCCGGATTACTTACATAAGCTGTAGGTGTTGCCTTTAAGCGTGGGCTTGGTCAACGCGAGTCAACGTTAGACAGTCTCTCATCCAGACTCCAGTGAGTACAATAGTTTTTCAATCTTTTTGATACGTGATCACGCTACGTGTTTACTAGAAACTCCTGCAACAACACGGTGAAAGCGTCCAACAGCCCTGCCAGTGGGTTCCACTACTCCCCAATCGACGTTGCACAACTATCCATAACGTCTCTCAGCTCTCCACTATGACTACTCCGTTTAAACCCCATCCACCACCTCCTGTTCTTCCAACACCAGCGTTGCCGATTCCTCAGTTAGAGTCTCTGAAATTCAAAGCGACGCAAATCATCGACTCCATTATCGCTCTCCAGAGGACCGTCGAGGCAGGCGGGCATCCCAGTGCTATGCCTGCATGGCCAGACATCCTCTCGAAATACAACATCCTGCTCTCACAGACGCACAACTTCTCTACTGCCCTCGTTCAGCGTGTGCAGCAGGCCGGCCCCTCGTCCAGAGCACCCCCGCAGAACATGTACGAGCGCATCGCGTTGCATCCCAGCATGGGCATGACAGACCAGCAGCTGGACGGAGAGGTCGCACCGTTGTTACGGAATCAGCAGACGACGGACGTGCTGAGGATGGAGAACGACACCGTGCGGAGGTTGGCGGAACACATGAGCACACGGGGCTCGCTCGGGGTGCTGGGCATCTCGCCCCCGCCAGCCCCTCCAGGCGGGTTTGGTGCGCCTCGCAAGCCAGAGTACGAGGACGTGCTGAAGGAATGCGCGGAAATACGCGAGGCACACGATCGGCGAGTCGAACGCGCGGTGCGGGCGGTCACGATGCTAAGGGAGAAGTTCGACTGGAAGCAGCGGGTCGAGGTCGAGGTGGAGGAACCGGAGGAGCTTGACTGGGACCCGAGGCTGGGCAGGACGCCCGACAATGTCCCTGGAGACGTGGCGGAGGATGAAGACATGGGGTCTGCGAGTGAGGGTGAGGGTGAGGGTGATGAGGAGGCCAACAGCGACGAGGACGACGAGTTCAACGTTGAAGGCGCTCTAACGGGTGCCGACGCGATCTCGCCACAGAACGGCGACGGCGACATGTTTGGATCGGTGTCGTCGGCGGCTGCAGGTGGTGTTCCGGGGAAGGCCAACGCCGCAATCGATGTCGATGATGACATGGTCGGAACTTGATGTCTTTCTGCAGGCAATCTACGGTTTTTCTTCCCGACCGCGAATATTCGAATAAGAGGCGTCTCGGAAGTTGTTTCCTCCGCCTGATCTCAGAAAACACGGTATTCGGATATCCACAGAATGCGACATGTCAATGATGACATAGTTCTAGGGTGATTCCTGCCGCATAGAAATTGGCTGTTGACTTCTTTTGGAAGGACAATCGCCAAATATATCGCAAATTGTGGGGCCGGGCATGTCAATATTTCCCAGAATTCCGAGGAGAAAACCTTCTTGGGACGGTATATAAACCCTGCCTCTTCGATTTTTCTCTTCCTCCATCTTGTCCCTCGACCACCACCACCTCCTCGCACATTCGTTGACCCTCTCTCGCTGCTTCGCTCAGCGTCGCAGCCATGCGTCTCCCAATCTCCACACTCTTTCTTTCCTCTCTTTCTCTCCTCGCTCTCTTCCCTACCCTTGTCGCATCTCTTTCCCCGCAGTTCCCCTCTCGCCACGACTACCAGCATGGGTCGGCTAAGCAGCTAGTGGCCTCTCGTCAATACCGCGTGGTTCGAGATCTCCTCGATGTATGCGTCAATGTAAGCCTAGACGTCCTTGCTAATGCCACTCAGTTGCTCGGCCTCGAATCTCTGCTCGGCCCTCTCGATATCAATCCCGATATTCAGCTTTGCTTGTGTCTCAAGGTCGGCCTCTGCAAGTATTGCTGCATATATGCGCTTATTTTGCGGCTTTAGGACCTCGACATCTACTTGGACACTAACGCCGACATCCAAGCCGTCGTTGGCCTGCTCGGAAAGGACCCTGTTCGCGCACTTATCACTGCCCTGGTGAGTTGAGTCTATACTCGTCAACGCTGATTAAATGCTAAGACCCCTGCTCAGATCAACACGTCGCCAGATGCGCACCAATGCACGTTCCCCCCGCATGCGCACCACACTTGCAACAACAATGATCCTTGCCATTGGGGCTGTGATGAAGGTTATATTCGCGACGGTAACACTTGCGTCTGCCCTCCACCCTACACATCGTGTAACGGTGTTTGCGGCTTGTTCCGCCACGTAGGTCGACTTTCTCTCTTTGCGCATATATGCGCTGCGTTGGCTTCTGTTCGAAACTTCGCTATCTTCTTTGCTTCTCCGTAGAGACTGGCCAGCTAATCGCTCCTTCAAACAGGGCTGCCCTTCCGCTGTTCCCAGGACATTACAACCCCGGGCCGCCATCGTTACTTTGGCCCAAGCGAAGGCAGCCTGCGGAAGTAATGCAGAGGTCTGCGGTGTCAGTGGTCGAGAAAACTCGATGGCCTTTGAATGTGTGGACACTGAGACGACCAAGGACAGTTGTACGTGACCAATCCTCCATTCCATCACCGCCTCGCTCACTCTACCTGCAGGTGGCGGTTGTATGGCTCCCCATCCCTTCTTCGAGTCGGAGCCCGTCCGGCGCACGACAGGTCAGGATTGCTCCGCCATTCCCAATGCGAAGAGTGCCGGGTGTTTGGAAAGCCGCTGCGTCGTCCATACCTGCAATGATGGTTGGATCCCAAGCGCTACCCTGGACCAATGCATCCGCGACCCCGCTCAATCCGCGCCGACCAAGGTAGTCCGAATTCTGAAGCGCTCAACGCACTCAGCCTCTCCAAGCGCAACTGCTACCTCCAACGTCAATCCCGACGTGGTCTCTCAACTTCTCATTGTCGTCGAGCATGTCCTTAACCTGAATGCTGCCTGCCCTACCTCTCTACCCTCGACACTACCTGCAACGCCCGGCACCCCATCTACTTCTGACATCGTTCCTGCCCTTTTGAACGACATCTACGACGCTACGGGCAGCCTTGTGACATCCTCTACTGTTGACTCCCTTGTTGCAGGTCTTGGCTCCCTTCTTGACACAAGTTCGCTCCTTGGTTCGATGCTGGGTACCTGCGGCTGTGCGGACGACCTTGGGTTGACGAACATGGTGCAGGAGCTCGATGTCCTGATCCGTGTCCTGCTGGACCTGCAAGACTTCTGCGGGCATAATCCCGTCGTTACAAGTCCAGGCTCAGGCAGTGGCTCCAACACTGTCAGCAGCTCCGGCGCATACAGCACTGCTCACTCTGTCACCTCTGTAGTATCGCACCTCCCTCCGGCTGCATCGTCGCCTTCGTCTTGTTCAGCTTGTTCGATACCGTCGACATCTGACGGCTCGGCGCTCATCGTTGGACTGAGCGACTTGCTCGGTGGGCTTCTTGGCCCTCACTCTGGCATCGTTGTAGCCGGTTTGCTGGGAAATGATTTGGACAACTCCCTCAACAATCTCCTCAACAGTCTTAGTCTTGGTCCCAACAATTTCCGTAGGCGCCAACTTACCACAAATGCGAATACAACCTCTCTCCTCACCCAACTCGACACGCTCGTCGACCTTATACTCGACCTCAACTCCGAATCAGGGTCACTTCCTTCTGCAGGCTCTGGTCATTCAATCATCAACTCTGGCCTCGTCGACAGCGTCGTGAACGCCTCGATTTCTCTTCTTTCAGCTCAGACTTACGTCCAGTTGGTTTATGGCGTCGACCAGCTGGTTGGTGTTAGTCTCGCATCTCTTCACGCGTTTGACCAGTGTGGCTGCCTATCCGAACTCGGCCTTCAAGCTACGTACCGCGATATTGTCAAGATCGTCGACGTCGCCCTCGCTCTGCAACAATACACCGAGGCTCAGCCCGCATCCTCGTCTGGCGGTGTCAGTGGCCCATCCGACGGTCTCTTCCCCAGTGCCGGCGCTGGAGAACCTCTGGTTGTTGGACTCACCAAACTTCTCAATGGACTGGGCATCGGCGGCTCTGGAGGCGTGGTTGTTAGCGGCCTGCTCGGCGATGGGGTTGACAGCACTCTTAATTCGCTGCTCGACGGCCTGAACCTTGGACCGCACGGTCTCCGTCGGTAGGATAGGGCAACCCCGCACCCTCGTTCCTTGATTTCCTAGTGTTCTCGTGAGCTCCCTTGTTTCTATCTTATTCTCTTTTTCCTACTAACTTTGCAGCGTAGTGCGCCTGTGATAACCGTCTCTTCTCGTTAACGGACCCTTAGTTGTGTTTCACCTTCCTTTCTTCATTAATTGCATCGCGATTTTTGTTCTCCTTCACTCTGTGATCAGACCCGAATACTCTGGACGTTTCGCTTACTGTCTATGAACCCGTACATTCCTTATGTAAATACTAGTGGTTTATGAATGACACTCATCGTCATTGAATGTGAAATCATCCAAACTAATTTTCACAATTCGGCCTCCGTTGGTGGCGCCATGAAAGGATTACCATATGTCCAGAATTTGCTTTGCTATTGATACCAGTTTTATTACTACATTGAATTGGGCTACAGAATGTCTATGGGATATGCCGTTGGGTGACGAGTACGTCGTAAAGCACAGAGCAGTAGTACATGGGTGGCGCCAAATACACCACGTCAAAGGGTGACAAGAAAGCAGTAAGCCACAATAGACGGAGTGAGGCACGCCAAAAATAAAGTGCAATGCACGGGAGGAACAAGGTCAATCGAAAACGAACCAAGGGGTATTTCAAAAGAACTAAGAATAAGGTAAGCAAAAACGAAGAGGGGCATGTTGATTGACGGTCATAGGAGACATTACTTCAACAATTTGCAGGTAGGCATAGGATTATCGTTCACTCTGATGAATGAACAACGAGTCCGACGCGCGTACGGTTGCCGTTTCGCCTTCAGGCTGGCGGTCGCATTCGCTCGAATCGACGTGTACGCTGATGAACGTCTCGCTTGAGGGGTACTGGTGGTGCAGGCGCTCGCTGTGCGCCGACAACCGGTCCATGTCCATATCCATGTCTAGGTCCAAATCCCGATCGAGGTCGCTCGTCCTCAGCCTCGTCGGAGCTGGCGACATCCGCGACGCAGTGGACATCCTCGAAGCGTTTGACATCCTCGACCCGCGCGAGTGGGTGCGCGTGAACCGCAAGTTGTTAGCGCTGTTGCTGCTCTGAGCGAACTGGATCTCCTGGAGCGAGCGGCTCGGGACTTGCATCGTGATGGTGCTCTTCGTCGGGCTGGCAAGCGCGGTGGCGCATTCGTGGTCGCGGTCGTGTTCGTCCCGCGCTTCGAGGTCGTGCACGGCGCGCCCGAGCCCAACTTGTGCAATGATGAGGGTGGGCATGATGCCCACCATTTGGATGAGACCTGCGTCGAGGACCACCTAGGAAAAGTGTATGATTAGCAGGTGGTAAATGGAGCAGAAGAAGGTACGTACGCTACCCGTCTTGTGCTTGTGAAAAGCCAGGTTGAGGACGATGTAGAACGAGTATATCGCGCCAGATTCGGTCCTGTGTAGGTATAGATTATGAGCTTATGATAGCGCATATATGCGAAAACAAAAGACGTACAGGATGGCAATCGTCGAATTATATCTGTGCAGAACGTTGTCGCCGAGGATAGGCTCTGCCGCGCGTGCGATCCACCATATTCGTCCAGCTAGATGTCTTACGCATTAGCAATTGGAACTGAATGCTGTCTAGCTTGATTCGTACCAGTCAATCCCGTCAAGAGAAGGTTGAGCACGAGTGTCATTGCGAGGTACACCCAGGCGTATTTAAAGAGGTGATTCGTCGCCCCCTCGAAGATGTACCCGCAGACCGTTCCTGCGATGAGAAGGAAGAGAGGTCCAGTGACGATGTCTTTCCGAAAATCCCAAACGATGTAGCAACGATACAGAAGGAGGGTGTCCGCGAGGACACTGACCAAAACCCCAAAGCTCAGAAAATTCGAACATGAGGACGGGATGGAGTGGTGCTCACTTGTTGGTCACGTAGAGGTAGTACTTCGGCCGAATGTCAGGAAATGAAAGACCGCCATCGAAGAGCTTCCCGAAAACGATGCAGTAGGTGTAGATGATGTCTGCTGTTGCCAGCGCGAACATCGTGACGGCGGAGATGAGGAGCACATAGTGAAGGGGCTGCTTCCTCCGTAGCAACACAAACACGCAGATGAGGAAGAGGTTGAAGTAGATGCCTGAAAAGAGAATACTTGAATCACCATACGGAATCGAGTGCTGGAGAATTCGAACCCACCATATAGGAACGTTTCGAACTGTGGGCGTCCTTTGTGAGCTGCGATTCTCGGAGAAAAATGGAAGAGAACGCACCAAGACGGCGCCGACATAGGGTGGAAGCGTGGTCGGGAAGGGTGCGTATCCGTTGTGGGCTGGATAATCATTCGGAGTCATTATAAGGTCTGGCGTCTAGTGATGATTGTTGGGCGTTCTGCCAATCTATCCTGATCGGCTGGGGGAGCTCTCGCCGAAACTGTGCTCAGATATAGTCGCTGCGGTTTGCAATTTCCGTGCACGAATCGAAGGGGTAGGAGACGGCTTGGAACGTGGAGATGAGGTGGTAGGTTTCGGCACTGGTTCTGCACTGGCTGCAGTGCAAGACGTCTCGCTTAGAAGCTTGCTAGCTCAGGCTGGGTATTTGTCGTCCTCTGGGTCGTGAAATAGTCGTATCGGGTATCACTTGGGGATATTGAGTCGGACGAGAGGAAGGAAGGGGAGAAGGGCGGGAGAAAAAGAGGGTGGGGAGCAGAGGGAAGGGGGTGAAGCAGCGACGCACACCATTCACATCCTGCTGTGCAGCTAACCCTTCTTTATGTATGTGGTTATCCGTGCATGTCGAATAATAGGATCCCCACGAGCGCCGGGGCGATGCTTGCCCGTGCAAGGTTCATGCCCGAACAGTCGATCCCTTGTCTCCCTGTCCTATTTCGATTCAGAACCTTCGCTTGGGGACCTGTGGGCCAAGTATAGCCAGGCGTCAATGATTGGCGCTGAACACGCTGCAAGTGTCGGTAACCAGAATATGGTCGTCTGAGGGCTGGAGGAGAAACGGGGCTGAGAATGAGGCTGGAATGAGTTGGGCGTACACCACGCTGGATGCAGGGTCGTCCCTTTTGGGGCAAATTTCACCTCATTCCGTGCCGACGCTTATCGGTCTGGGCAAGGCTTGGCCCCCCATAGTCCTTTCCTCCCCGGAACTATTGTTAATTG